TGATTTAGGGAATTGAATCTGTGCTCCAGTTCCCCGAATTAAGCCTGAATGCCTTCCACATCCCCCCCTGGGCGCTGTATAATCCTACGGGTTTAGCGCTTCCCCCTTGATTATAATAATAATAATAATCGTGAATAACCTTCAAAGTTAGGCGGGGGTTTCCATGCTGGAGAGAGGCTCTTAATTCAAGATATTGGACCTACCCTCCTCTTCCTTGGATCTAACCTGATTGCCTCCTGTGTGAATATAATAATGTCAGGTTAAGATATTTCTACCCACAAGGGAAGTTCCTTGATGCTGCTGAGCGGATCTTGAGCCTTTGCTAAGAGGATCTTCATCCTTTGCTAAGAGAATCTTGATCCTTTGCTAAGAGGATGTTGATCCTTTGCTAAGGGATACGTATCTTGGTCCTTTGCTAAGAGGATCTTGATCCTTTCCTAAGGGAGTCTTGATCCTTTGCTAAGGGTATCTTGATCCTTGATGAGGGGCTCTTTGATCCTTACTGAAAGTTCCACCTTTGATGCAGATTCACTGATATTAACCAACTAACTTATCGAATCAGCTTTCATTATATATTACCTTCAGCACTCTCCACTAACCCTTATTCTTGCACTATCCTAACCTGACCTCTCATATTCCTTATTTAGAACAACCCATCCTGCAAGCAGTGCATGACTTTCGGGTTTAGTGCATAGTTTGATTATTGCACCAACCGCAAGTTTTTTTTTTTTACATTCTTCCCTACCTTCACCACCACATGTCCGTCATTCACTCATCACCTTTGCTCATTCTTTCACATTCCTACCTGCAGCACTATGTGACTCTTTCGGATTTAGCGCTTTGATTGTTACTATTGGGGGGGGCTCTTGATTTAAGGAACTGGATATAAGGAATCTGACCCTCGGCCCTGTGACCAGGTCTCATGATGGATCAAGGTCTGATCAACCAGGTTGTTACTGTTGGCCGCACGCAAGCCGACGTACGAACCACAGCCTGGCTGGCCAGGTACTGACTTTAGGTGCCTGTCCAGCGCCTTCTTGAAGACAGCCAGGGGTCTATTGGTGATCCCCCTTATGTATGCTAGGAGGCAGTTGAAAAGTCTTGGGCTCCTGACACTTATTGTGCTGTCTTATCGTGCTAGTGGCGCTCCTGCTTTTCATTGGGGAGATGTATCGTCTGCCGAGTCTTATGCTTTCATAGGGAGTGATTTTTGTGTGCAAGTTTGGTACTAATCCCTCTAGGATTTTCAAAGTGTATATAATCATGTATCTCTCTCGCCTGCGTTCCTGGGAGTACAGGTTAAGGAACTTTAAAAACATCTCTCCCTAACACATCCCAACATCAGCTAAATATGAGAAAACTATATATCCATGGTGTCAGTGTCACAAAACTATGGAAGACAATATATTATTCTCAATATCTGTAATCCTCACAACCATTAAAACATTAAATATTTTTACATCATGATATGCTAGACTCCTCATTACTTATAATCATAATCCAACCCGTACTAATAGGATATTTAATTCTCTTGTATTCATTTCAACTCCTAATTTAATTTTTACAACCCTGTAAAAGATTGTATATATAAGCAATCAAATAGTTATTGCCTCATTAATCTTAAGTTAGTCTTAAGTCTGCTTGAAATACTCTGCATATTAAGGGGTTTTCTGCGTACACAGCACAATGTCCTTCACCCTTGTGTAAACTTTGTATCATGCTGAAATAAGAATATCTAATCTTTCTTAACAGCAATGCCTTGTCTCGTACCAGCGACGCTTTCTTACCAGAGACGCCTTGTTTCTTACCAGCGACGTCTTATTTCTCACCAGCGACGTCTTATTTCTTACCGGCGACATTGTTTCTCACCAGCGATACCTTGTTTCTCACCAGCGATACCTTGTTTCTCACCAGCGATACCTTGTTTCTCACCAGCGATACTTTGTTTCTCACCAGCGATACCATGTTTCTCACTAGCGATACCATGTTTCTCACTAGCAATACCTTGTTTCTCACAAGCGATACCATGTTTCTCACTAGCGATACCTTGTTGCTCACCAGCGATACCATACTTCTCACCAGCGATACCATGTTTCTCACTAGCAATACCATGTTTCTCACTAGCGATACCATGTTTCTCACTAGCGATACCATGTTTCTCACCAGCGATACCATGTTTCTCACTAGCGATACCATGTTTCTCACTAGCGATACCATGCTTCTCACTAGCGATACCATATTTCTCACTAGTGATACCATGTTTCTCACTAGCGATACCATGTTTCTCACCAGTGATACCATGTTTCTCACCAGCGATACCATGTTTCTCACCAGCGATACCTTGTTTTCCCCCAGTGATACCACGTTTCTCACTAGCGATACCATGTTTCTCACTAGCCCATACCAGTTTCTCACCAGAGGTACCATGTTGCTCACCAGCGATACCATATTTCTCACCAGCGATACCATGTTTCTCACTAGCAATACCATGTTTTCTACTAGCGATACCATGTTTCTCACCAGCGATACCATATTTCTCACTAGCGATACCATGTTTCTCACCAGCGATTTCCATGTTTCTCACCAGCGATACCATGTTTCTCACCAGCGATACCATGTTTCTCACCAGCGATACCATGCTTCTCACTAGCGATACCATGTTTCTCACCAGCGATACCATGTTTCTCACTAGCGATACCCCTGTTTTTTCACTAGCGATACCCTGTTTCTCACCAGCGATACCATGTTTCTCACTAGCGATACCATGTTTCTCACTAGCGATACCATGCTTCTCACTAGCGATACCATAATTTCTCACTAGTGATACCATGTTTCTCACTAGCGATACCATGTTTCTCACCAGCGATACCATGTTTCTCACCAGCGATACCATGTTTCTCACTAGCGATACCATGTTTCTCACTAGCGATACCATGCTTCTCACTAGCGATACCATATTTCTCACTAGTGATACCATGTTTCTCACTAGCGATACCATGTTTCTCACCAGTGATACCATGTTTCTCACCAGCGATACCATGTTTCTCACCAGCGATACCTTGTTTCTCACCAGTGATACCACGTTTCTCACTAGCGATACCATGTTTCTCACTAGCGATACCATGTTTCTCACCAGAGGTACCATGTTGCTCACCAGCGATACCATATTTCTCACCAGCGATACCATGTTTCTCACTAGCAATACCATGTTTCTCACTAGCGATACCATGTTTCTCACCAGCGATACCATATTTCTCACTAGCGATACCATGTTTCTCACCAGCGATACCATGTTTCTCACCAGCGATACCATGTTTCTCACCAGCGATACCATGTTTCTCACCAGCGATACCATGCTTCTCACTAGCGATACCATGTTTCTCACCAGCGATACCATGTTTCTCACTAGCGATACCATGTTTCTCACTAGCGATACCATGTTTCTCACCAGCGATACCATGTTTCTCACCAGCGATACCTTGTTTCTCACCAGCGATACCATGTTTCTCACTAGCGATACCATGTTTCTCACCAGCGATACCATGTTTCTCACCAGCGATACCTTGTTTCTTACCAGCGATACCATGTTTCTCACTAGCGATACCATGTTCCTCACCAGCGATACCATGTTTCTCACCAGCGATACCGTGTTTCTCACCAGCGATACCATGTTTCTCACCAGTGATACCATGTTTCTCACCAGCGATACCTGTTTCTCACTAGCGATACCATGTTTCTCACCAGCGATACCTTTCTCACCAGCGATACCTTGTTTCTCACCAGCGATACCATTTTTTCCCACCAGCGATACCATGTTTCTCACCAGTGATACCATGTTTCTCACCAGCGATACCATGTTTTCCCCAGCGATACCATGTTTCTCACTAGCGATACCATTTTTTCTCACCAGCGATACCATGTTTCTCACCAGCGATACCGTGTTTCTCCCCAGCGATACCTTTGTTTCTCACCAGTGATACCATGTTTCTCACCAGCGATACCATGTTTCTCACCAGCGATACCATGTTTCTCACTAGCGATCCCTTTTTCCCTCACCAGCGATATCCATTTTTTCTCACCAGCGATACCGGTTTTCTCACCAGCGATACCATGTTCTCACCAGTGTTAACCGTTTTTTTCTCACCAGCGATACCATGTTTCTCACCAGCGATACCATGTTTCCCCACCACGATACCATGTTTTCACCAGCGATACCATGTTTCTCCCCGCGATACCATGTTTCTCACCAGCGATACCATTTTTTCTCACCGCGATACCATGTTTTCACTAGCGATACCATGTTTCTCACCAGCGATACCATGTTTCTCACCAGCGATACCGTGTTTCTCACCAGCGATACCATGTTTCTCACCAGTGATACCGTGTTTCTCACCAGCGATACCATGTTTCTCACCAGCGATACCATGTTTCTCACCAGCGATACCATGTTTCTCACCAGCGATACCATGTTTCTCACCAGCGATACCTTGTTGCTACTACACTAATACCACTGCTACTACCATTGTTGTTGCTACTCAGTAATATAACTGTTGTTACTATTATTACGTTATTACTACAGACCTTCAACGCACATATTTAAAATTTAATCTCTGATAAGACAATAAAAAATATAAAATATAACCCGGTGTAAATTTTGTTTCTAAGAAATGCAAAATTTCATGTTGCATTTCCCGGCAAAAAAAAAAAATGAGGGGGGTTAATAACTCTGGAAAATGTACAGTTGTTTCTCTTGTTAACACGAGATATTGACGAATAAATTCAATGAGTTTACTTGTTGAAAATAGTTGTGAATTACTGTAAAAATTTTCCGAAGTAAAATTGGTCGTCTGCATATTACAAGAAGACAAATGTGGTCACAGACTTCTAAACAAAATGGAAAATTACTCCCAGAACTCTATGGTTAGCTGCTCTAACTGCCACTAGAAATGTGTATGAGGGAATTAAGATAACAAGAAGTTAAAGTAATGGGTATATAGAGGGAAACTTGGGGAATTATGCCAATTATATGTGCGCATTCGGGCGCTTTAGAAGGTTCCAGCACTACGCGGCCTGACAGACGAGAGCGCGCCATAACCCAGGAGTCACGTGGGCAGCGCACTCACAACCTCCACCATATTACTGCCTCTCTCCTCTATATCACCTTAAACATGGACTCCAGGAAGATAATAGATATACTTAGGGGGACGATAGATCCAAATTTGCGGCAGCAGGCGGAGGAGGAACTGACGCAGGTGAGGCAGAAGTGGAGGGCGGAGGCTGCTCTGCCCGCCGCCAACCTTATAAATTCTTTACATTATTAATACTATTTTTGATATTTAGTGATCTGGTTGGTGTATGTCCGAGGCAAGCAGAGCTTCACCTCCACATGTGCTTGTTAAGGAATTTTGTCTGGTTTTCTAGGTATTAAAGGATATTTGTGGTGAGGTCTGGCTGGTGGCGTTGTTGCTGCACGACCTCACTGCTCCTCCTCCTCCTCCGTGATCACCATAAATAAATAAATATATTTTTTTGTTCTTTTTATGAAATATTTGTATTTGCGTTAGTTGTGTCGTATGTGGAAAAGACCTTGGTTATGCACAGGGTTTCGGATAGACTTATACTAGGGGTAATATTTTGACTTTATTGGGTTATGCTATGTAATCTACACATATGCTGCTGTGTATGGTAATTTATGTAACTGTATTTGTGTGTGTGTACCTGAATAAACTTGGTTACTGATAGAGCATGATGTACCCTCCCCTTAGTGCAGCTGCTGGAGATGATTTTGACCAGGGGGGGATATTGAGAGGGTTTATGTCAGCCATGTGAGCTGTATGACCCTTGTGGGTTTAGCACTGGTTTTGATTATAATACGTCAGCCTTGTATGTGTAATTGACATAACCATGTGAATAAATGGGCACTGCAGCAGGCCTACTGGCCCATGCTCTAAGCATGTTCTTCTCTCGCCCCATCACTCACACTCTTGTACTTCTCCAGTCTAGTTTTAAAGCCATTCAGAGTTCTTGCTTCAGTGACATAAGTTGGTAGTTACACTCATCCACAGTTTTATTGCCCAACCAGTAGGAGTAATTTGGTTCTGGTTTAACTAGCCCTGGGTGTCCCGTGGCTCGGTCGACAATATACTTGCCTCGTACACTGAATGTCTCTGGTTCAGTCCCCGGCATAGGTGGAAACATTGGGCATATTTCCTTATACCTGATGTCCCCATTCGCCTAGCAGTAAGTAGGTACCTGAGTGTTAGTCATCTGTTGATCACATCCTGGGGTAATCTTGCCTACCACTGACTATGCTCTCATCTGCTACCTGTCCCCTTTTCACCTGATGCCAGTATATAAGTGCCAGCCTTCTTGCCTGTGGTCCAGATTCTTCATGACTACAGTGGTCTTCAGTTCCAATCAGATCTCTTCTTAATCTTAACTTTACCAGTTCTCCAATATTATGTTATGGATCTTTTACTACAGGTCATATTCTGGTAATTTTTAGCCCTTGATATTTTTTTCTACTTCTGCACTTCAGTTATTCCCCCCTAAAAAAAAATAACATACCACGGGTGGGGTTTGAACCCGTGGTAAGTCTCTCAAAACTCCAGACCGTCGTGTTTGCCACTGGGCCAGCTAGCTTCAATAGGAGACTCTGACCGTGGGTTCAAACCCCGCCCGTGGTATGGTTCGTTTGCAATCGTCTCATTAAGATTTTGAGTCATTTCCCCCCTAATTCTGTGACTTTACAAAGAAAAGTTCAGAGCCTTCAGTTTTACACAGGATTAATTTGTCATTTTCTCTACACATTTATATATATATAGTATATATTTTCTGTAATGAGACCAGAATTGAGTTGCATAATTTAAATGAGGCCTAACCAAAAATATGAAGCTGAGAAAAACCCTAAAACCTTGGTTATTTAGTTTTTGATATGAAGCTAAGAATTCTGCAATTGTAGGGTATCTTTATTGTTGAAGTATTTTGCCTATACTGTAGGCTTCTAAAGTCAGATATAAAAGTAAAATAAAATATGGAGACTGCAGCAGTAGTGGATCTGAATTCTCCAGGCTGAGAGATCAGTGCAAGAACTCAAAGGTTGATGGACTGATCACATTTTTATCTCGCCACTACTGCTGTTGTCTCTATATTTACTCTGTATGTGACTGAAAAAGTCTGTGTAAGCAAAACATTTAAAATATAAAGACACCCAACTGTTGCACAAGTTTCTAATCGTCTATTTGTCAGCATTATATGCTATTTTCATTATTATAAGAATTCTATTAGCTCTGTTGCACAACACTTGTGCACTATTGTCTTGGCTTCAGATTTCTGCTAGCTAAAACTCTGGTATCTTTGTGTATTCAGTTTGATTTAAGAACACAAGAAGGTGCACTGCAGGAGGCCTACTGGCCCATGCTAGGCAGGTCCAAGTCACCTGCTGGCTCAAGATAGTCCAGTCCAGTTCACACCCACTCATGTTTTTGTCTAACCTATTTTAAAAACTACACATTTCAGCTTCAGTGATGTTACTCTGGAATTTGTTCCACTATTACCAAACCAGTGCTTTCCTGTATCCTTTCTGAATCTAAATTTTTCCAACTTGAACCCATTGCCCTGAGTCCTGTTTTAGATAATTTTCTAGGATTAGGACCTTTAATTTATTTTCATTACTCTGCCTCTGCCATTTATCAGACACACACACCTATCTATATCATCTTGTACTAGTCTGATGTGCATTTGTGTGTTGAGGCAAACGTATGACTATGTTTATACTGTCATCAGTTATTTTTGTAGATTGTGAACAAGGACTCTGACCCTGATCCTTGTGGAGCACCACTAGAAATCGGTCCCTATTCTGTGCTCCCTATTTGTGTAAATTGTTGTCTTGTGTCAGCCATGCTTCTATCCAGGATAGAATTTCTCCAATACGCAATCCAACGTACGAGCCACAGCCCGGCTGGTCAGGTACCAATTTTAGGTGCTTGTCCAGTGACAGTCTTCAAGCTGGCACTGGACAAGCACCTAAAATCGGTACCTGACCAGCCGGGCTGTGGCTCGTACGTTGGCTTGCGTGCAGCCAGCAGTAACAGCCTGGTTGATCAGGCTCTGATCCACCAGGAGGCCTGGTCACAGACCGGGCTGCGGGGGCGTTGACCCCCGGAACTCTCTCCAGGTAAGTTCCAGGTGATACTATCATGTGTGGAGCCTGTCAAAAGCCTTCCTGAACTCCCCACACAGTCGTATTCATCATTATGGTCAGTTGCCTTTGATGTATTAATGAAGTTAGTAAATTCATCAAGCAAGAACACTTTGTAAAACTCAGATTTGTTGGACAAATTATGTATTTCAAGGTGATTTTGAATTTCGTCCACAGTTAAAGGTTCTGTTGGTTTTCCCTACGAGTGAGGGTAGACTGATTGGTCCTAGGTAGCTAGGTGGTACTACCTTTTATCAGATGTATGAAAAATGAACTTGTTAAATTTTTTTGCACAGGCAGTATTGCTGAATCTTTATTCTCATGAACACATAAGATGACGGGTAAATCTAGCAAACTTCTACTCATGTTCAATGTGCACATGTGCTTTGTCGTACACTAGTTTGTAATCCTGTAATATTTCCTTTTCAACCAAGGATGCCTGGTCTGAGACTGGGTCATGGGGAAGATAATCCTCAGAGTCATGTACCAGATTAACAGGTATCAGCCAGTAATTTACACCAGCTGCCCTAGACATCCACTTGCCGCCCACTCTGAACCTGTTCGTCTGACTTGATTTGAAAATCATGACTACTGGACTGGGCTCCCTATGATTGTATAGTATACCAGTGTGATTAAACTTCTCTATAATCTTTGCCATTTTAGCCCCCCTTTACTGTCTAAAACCCAATATTAGTATTGCTCATAGTGTCCACTTTAAAAAAAAAATTGAATGGTAGAGAATCTTTTTTGGGAGGTAATAACACCAAAAGTACAAAATTTAATAGAAAACTTAGGGTATTACACAGTTGCAAATTTATCACTGGGTGCAATTCACTTATTAGTGATTGTGCCCACTTTGAGTCTTAAGTAAATTCCATGGCTTCATTTTACCAAATTCTTAGCTATTTTTGCTAGTATTTTTCTGTTCTATCAATTGAAAACAAGAAACCGCCCATCCAAGTATATTATAATTATCCTATAATGTGCATTGAAGTTGTAATTTAGCCAGTTTTACACGTTTAAAGTACCAATTAATAATGGTATGCAAAGTAATTTAAACAGTCCTGGTACTAAAGCATTTCCTCTGTTCATTTATCATGTCCCCAGGTCTCTCCTGTATTACACTTCCCTTCATTTTGAGTTCATAATAAATTTGAATTCATAAAATAGAAGATTTCCTGGATAATAACACATACCTGGAGGGTGTTTCTGGGGTCAATTCATAAAATAGAAGATTTCCTGGATAATAACACATACCTGGAGGGTGTTTCTGGGGTCAACACCCCCATGGCCTGGTCCATGACCAGGCCTTGTGATGGATAAAGGCCTGATCAACCGGGTTGTGACTACTGGCAGCATACAAACTGACATGAACCACAACTAGGCTGGTCATGAACTGACAAAACAGATCAGTTGGGTTGCAGGGGATGCCTTGCACATCCTTGGGAAAATTGGCAAAAAGTCTAATATTTCCAATAGTTTGAATCCAGTTTCAAGCTATTTCCAGTCCTGAAACCTCCAAAATCATCTCTATTTCAGTAGTACATCTTCCATTCAATCAAATGACTCCAAGAAATAGCCAATAAAATCTTGAAAAGCATCCTGGAAAACACCTCAAATTTGTTATTTTAAGCCAAACACATGGTCAGCTTTGTTTCCCCCATCATGCACTGTGTGGGGCATGATTTTTTTTATATTGTCCACATTCACTGCAAAGACTCATTCTGTCATATCTAGGCCAAAATTTATTGCTCACAGCTTATCGGCGAGTTGAACTCGTGTTGTAGAACTATACAAGGGACCCTGGCCTCAGTGACGTAGTTCTGTGTGACAGCCCCTGAAATGGTTAATTGTGATTGTTTGAATGCTGGAAAATTTATTTAACCAAAATAGAAATGTAAACAATGGATATCATATTGAATAAATTCTGGTTTAGATATCAAATATGGATGAATCTTGCTGATATTGGAATTTCCCAAGTATTCAGCCAGTCAGAACTTTCATTTTCTTACTTGCAGAGCGTTCTCCCATATACATGTACTGTGTATGTAAATTTAATAAAACTGTCAGCAAGCACTAACCAAACATAACTCAAACCTGCTTAGAGGGTGCTTTGGGGGTCAACATTCCGGCAGTCCAGTCTGTGACCAGGCTTCCCCAGTGGGTCAGAGCCTGATCAGGCAGGCTGTTACTGTCTACTGCATGCAATCCAATATCTGACTTAAAACCCAGCTGGTCAGGTACTGACTTTATGTATCTCTTCAGCTTTCTTGTGAAGAAAACTAGGGGTCTGTTCGTAGTCCCCCACATGCATGCTTGGAGGCTACCAGTCTCGGGGGGGGGGGGGGGCTTGTACACTCGTGCCACTCTTGTTTTTCATAGAGGGTATGTTACACCATCTGAGTATTTTTGCTTTCATAGCTAGTGATTTTTGTGTGAAGATTTGGAACCTGTCCCAAATCTGCACACAGATTTCAGACAGGTCATCTCTTACGACTGCATTCCATGGAATACAGGTCAAGGGACTTCTAACAGTCCTAGTAATTGAGGTACTTGACTATTTATGCACGCAGTGGAGGTTCTCTTTATATTCTCCAGGTTGCAGTTTTGCCTGCCTTGGCAGGAGCTGTTAGTGTACAGCAGGATTCCAGCCTAGAGAGAACTAGTGACTTCAAGAGGATCATTTTGGCTTAGGATTCCTTGCTTTGAAGGTTCTCATCCATCCTATCATTTTCCTTGCAGTTTTGATGACACTTGTGATCCTTGAACATGAGATCTTGACATTATCACTCTAAGTCCTTCTCACAAATTTTTTTCTGTTGTGGTTAGAATGTTATATTCTGATCTAGCTTTTATTTCTTCAAGTTTTCATTAATGACGTAATTGAAAATTATCCTCTTTGAACTTATTATTTTCTCTGGCCACTGGAAGACTTGGTTTATATCTGCTTGTAAATTTAATGTCCTGAATTATGTCATTGAATAGCACCAAACCTGTTGCCTGGATAACTCTGTGATTACGCTGAATTGAAATATCTGAATTTGCCAGACATAGGCATTGTGGGCTTTGTCAGTATGTTTAATGTAGTTATCAATTAATGATGTGAATTTATTGCCTAATAGAGAGATCATTTTTAGTTGATGCAGTTAAGAGGATGTATTCTGAATCTGCTTTTAACTGGCGATAAGGAGAGACTAATATGAAGCAGGTTTGAAACCTCAGGAAAAGCAGTCATGAAGAGTGCTGTTTTAGCCTTGGTCTCTAAATGTTGCCTTAGCCTTTGCTGGAAAAAAAATGCTGTATTACAATTAGTCACCTTCTGCTACTGCTAAAGTAAGACCAAAACAGACCTTAGCTTTAGTGAGGCCCTCTGCAAACAGTGCAACATCGTGTCCAAAGCCAATTGATCGGACAAGGCAGTTGATCTTGTCCTGCTCTCTTCTCTTACTAACACTATAAATTAAATCACACCTCCCATGAGGTCCTCATTCCTGCAAGCTGACTTGTGTTGTGGTGTCCTAATTATTCTCTGGTGTATTTGGTGTTATAGGGATACATGGTGCTTTTGCAGAATTTGGAGCTAATCTTTTACTGAAATGGAAAAGCATTTGAATATGCTTTCAGGGTTAATCAGATTACATAATAGAAGTCACTGGTAAAATCCATGCAGATTTGCAGTATACCCAGAGTTTGCTTACAGAGTAGGTTTTGTGTAATGTATCTGCTCAGGGGCGAATGTTGAGAAACTTTGCCATACAGTGTTAATGAGTAATTACAATACTGTGTACTGTAGTAAGTACTAGGTGTGTCATAATGTTTGTATTGGTAGGTATTGGCTAATTTTGATGGTGTCAATATCAGGTGTCTGCTAATTTTGGTGGTATTGGTATCAACATTGAGTATTGGTATTGGCAAAAAATTTTGTATAGTTCATCCCTAATTAAGATGTATTTTTTTGTATATAAATTTTAGGAAATTAGATAGGTTGATTTTACAGCAGTATTAAATATTGACTTAAAAATTACACAACTATGGGAGGGAAGTTGTAAGGGGAAATTTCAGTTGATTCTCTTTCCTTTTTTTTTTTTTTCCCTCTTAAGTTTACCAAGAGTAATTTTTTATTGGTCTTGGTAATTCTCATGTCCTTTGTTGAACATGAATAATTCATGGTTGTTGAACTTTATCTTGCTAAATAAATATGAAAAACATGTATGGTATGAAACATTGAACTGTCCTATTTACAGAAAGCTCATATACTACTATATTGTATATTCTGTATATCTTGCATTACATCATTATTATACTGTGCCACAAGTCTTCATAATGTTCTAAAGCTTATTATATTTACAGATGAAGAAAATCATTGGGTTTACACCTGCCCTTCTTCAAGTAGTGATGATGGGAGAGTTGGATATGCCTGTACGTCAGGCAGGAGTCATCTACTTAAAGAACATGGTAGCACAGTACTGGAAAGATGCAGAGTATGAGGGTGGGGAGCCTATACCTTTTCACATACATGAACAAGATCGTGCCATGATCAGGGATGCTATAGTAGATGCAGTTGTTCATGCTCCAGACTTAGTGAGGTAAGGCTTTCATTGTGAAAGTGGAACACTTATTTACAAACACTCGTGTATTACTGGGAGTGCCTTTAATGTACTCTAGACTGTTGATTAAGACTCGGTCTGTTAACTTTTTGCTGTGAGATAGTTAAAACATTATAGCATACTTTCAATGAGCATACTGTATATTTTAGTGTGGACTAAATTTACAGAAAAATACAGTAGCTAAAAGATGGTGCACAAAGGCTAGTAACTGATTATTTCACTTAACTACACATTCCTGTACCTTTTTAAGTTTACATACCATTGAATATGCTGGTGATTGTCAAGTGTGAAAGAAGTGATTGAGAGATGATCATGCAGCACTGCCCTAAATATAGGGCCATCACTGTGTATGCCTTATATATACAAAATATTTAAAGCAGTAGTGGTAGATCTTATTAAAATGTGACTAAATTAGCTGTTTCCTGTTTAGCAGTCGGTGTATTTAGTGTTTTCATGTTTTTATTCTGGGCACCTCTGCAAAAGCAGTGAAAATGTGTGAGTGTGGTGAAAGTGTTGAATGATGAAAGTATTTTCTTTTTGGGGATTTTCTTTATTTTTTGGGTCACCCTGCCTCGGTGGGAGACAACCGACTTGTTAAAAAAAAAAAAAAAAAAATGTACTTTTCATCACAGCTAAAATGTGAGGATAATAGTTACTTATATACAAATTGAGAAGGATTATAAGATTTATATAGCCTTTATTTCCTTCCATTTGCATAATCAGGGTTGAGATGAAATTAAATGAGTCGGTGATGAGTTTTTTTGGTTTCGAACATATTATGACCAAAAGTGGCACTTAGGGTGCTAGAAATATCACTGGGATATGATCTCCAGATGACCTCCCTTCCACACTTTTTTTTATCACTTCCTAATGACACTTCCTGCTACAGAAAAGAAGAAATGGGTTCAAAAGAGATTTTGTCGGCATGCACACTCGCAAGACACAGCTCCAGTGTTAGACACTGCTCCACAGACTGCAAGATTTCTAGGGACATGACCAGCAACAGTTTTTTTTTATTTATTAACACAGCCGATTCCCACCAAGGCAGGGCGGCCCGAAAAAGAAAAACTTTCATCATCATTCACTCCATCACTGTCTTGCCAGAGGGGTGCTTTACACTACAGTTATAAAACTGCAGCATTAACACTCCTCCTTCAGAGTGCAGACACTGTACTTCCCATCTCCAGGACTCGAGTCCAGCCTGCCGGTTTCCCTGAATCCCTTCATGAATGTTACTTTGCTCACACTCCAACAGCACGTCAAGTATTAGAAATTTGTCTCCATTCACTCCTATCAAATACGCTCATGCATGCTTGCTGGAAGTCCAAGCCCCTCGCACACAAAACCTTTACTCCCTCCCTCCAACCTTTCCTAGGCCGACCCCTACCCCGCCTCCCCTCCTACAGATTTATACACTCAGTCATTCTGTTTTGTTCGATTCTCTCTACATATCCGAACCACCTCAACAACCCCCTCTTCCTCCACCCTCTGGATAATAGTTTTGGTAATCCCCCACCTCCTAATTTCCAAACTATGAATTTTCTGCATTATTCACATCACACATTGCCCCGAGACATGACATCTCCACTGCCTCCAGCCTTCTCATTGCAACATTCATCACCCATGCTTCACACCTACATAAATGTGTTGGTATAACTATACTCTTGTACATTCCCCTCTTTGCTTCCACAGACAAAGTTTTTTGTCTCCACAGACACCTAAGTGCACCACTCACCCTTTTCCCTTCATCAGTTCTGTGATTCACCTCATCCTTCATAGACCCATCTGCTGACACGCCCACTCCTAAATATCTGAATACATTCACCACCTCCATACTCTCTCCCTCTAATCTGATATCCAGTCTTTCGTCACCTAATCTATCCTCATCACCTTACTCTTTCATATATTCACTTTTAATTTTCTTCTTTTACATACCCTACCAAATTCATCCACCATCCTCTGCAACATCTCTTCAGAATCTCCCAAAAGCAGTGTCATCAGTAAAGAGCAGCTCTGACAACTCCCACTTTGTGTTTGATTGTTTATCTTTCAACTCCACACCTCTGCAAGATGCTTGCATTCACTTCTCTTACAACCCCATATATAAATATATTGACCAACCACAGTGACATCACACATCCTTGTCTAAGGCCTACTTTTACTGGGAAATAATCTCCCTACATACTCTAACCTGAGCCTCAGTATCCTCGTAAAAACTCTTCGCTGCTTTCAGTAACCTACCTCCTATGCCATACACCTGCAACATCTGCCACATTGCACCTGTTTGTATGTACATAGATGTTAGAGCTGTAGTACAGACATTCCTCACTTAACCTACCTGTTTAATGACTGCCAGAACTTACTATCAGCTCTCCGACCAGTTGGTATTGTGCGCTGTACAGGAGCTTTAGTCGTGGAACCTTGCTAATGCGCTTAATTTAGATGTTGAAGTGGAAGATATTGAAGAATTAGTGGAATATGTCGAGGGAGAGCTAACTAACAAAAATTTAAGAGTTGGAAGTGCAACAGCACTTGGAAGAGGAAAGAATGGAAGAAGTACAAAAGGTCACTGTAAAGGATTTAGCTGGTGTGTTCTGGAAAGTGAATGTGGCTATATTAAAACTAGAGGGTATGGACCCGAATGTTAAACGGTTCACAAAAGTCGAACGGCAGATGGATGAACTTTTATGATGCTTTTGTGGAATTTATGAAGAAAAAAGAATTTCAGTGCAGACCACACCAATGAGATTCTTCTGGAAAGCTACACCCTGTACCCTTACCCCTACAAGTCCTCCCATTTCCTCGCCGTCTTCTCCCTTACCCAGGCCCTCTACAGCTTATAACTCCGATGACTCTCCTCATTTATTGACCAATTCGCTCAACAACGTAGTCATAGGAATGGAATGCGGTCGCTAAGCGAGTGCCTGTAGCGTGAAACATTTGTACCTGTGCGTTTGTTATTAACGTGTATTTTGTAAACATTGATAATGCTTAGTGCGGGTATTGTTGCATAAAGCAAGTGAATATATGTACATTGTGCATAATATTGATCTCTTGGGCCACAAAATTTACTGGAAAACAAAAAATTAAACCCACATAACCCCTCATAAAATGGAAACATGAATGTGCATTAATGGCTGATGTTGCCATCAGTGCATCATCAATCTTCAATCTTCAACTTCACATTTATATCTTGGCAAGAACTGATGGTAATTTTTTTTTATTGCCACTAAAATAATTTACTTTTAATTGATAAGATTTTTTTTAATGTGGATACAGCAATTTTAATTTTGGGGCTTTGGACAGTGAATAAGTAAAACTTGAATTAGTAAAGAAGGTTGTGTCGGCTGTCTCAGTGGCATGGGTATGTGAAGAATACAGTGGACCCCCGGTTAACGATATTTTTTCACTCCAGAAGTATGTTCAGGTGCCAGTAGTGACCGAATTTGTTCCCATAAGGAATATTGTGAAGTAGATTAGTCCATTTCAGACCCCCAAACATACACGTACAAACACACTTACATAAATACACTTACATAATTGGTCGCATTCGGAGGTGATGGTTATGCGGGGGTCCACTGTATAGTGTTAGTGTCTGATATCTGTAAGAAGCCAGCACAAGATTTGACTTCATTTAACTTCAGTGTAGGTAATAGTGTTAGTTCCTCTGACACCTTATCTCAACCACAAAAATGTAAGCAAAATTACTGTAAATGCATATAGTACAATAAAATTTCTATATAGTACTGTATAGGTGTACAGGTTTTCAGTACCCATATTCTTAGTGTCCAGATGTCTTCTGCATCAGTGAGCTGTCTTCTAGTTCAGAAGATAACTGAATGATTATGAAAAACTAATGTTATAATTCAAAGGTTTTCAACAATCTTATGTATTGTGCACCCCCCTGCCCCCTCTATTAGCTCATTAATGAGAGGTTTTCCTTTATGGTAAACAAATAAATGTGTACGTAGGATGTTAGCTACACAAGTAAATTTTTTTTTTTTTTTTACACTTTAGCTGTCTCCCACAGAGGCAGGGTGACCCAAAAAGAAAGGAAAAACTTTGATCATTTAACACTTTCACCATTACTCATGCATAATCACTGTCTTTGCAGAGGTTATAAAAGCTATTACTTGCTATTAAATAATAGCTTTTATAACCTTTTGCTTGTGTGCAAGTTGATTGTTCTACCATATTGTATTACTACTATTACCACTAGTATTACATCTCACTCTAAGCCTATATATACCCTCTGTGTGCATGTATTGTTTGTAGCAGCTTGATAAAGCTCCTGGAGAGTGAGAAACGTTGCCACAATAAAATGTCACGTTAGTTGTACTTGTCCTTTTACTTAACATACGGTCGGTAATTCTACCAACATCAATACAATTTTTATTATCTTTCCAAACTACCAATATCCCAAAAACTCCTCCTTTAAAGTGCGGGCATTGTACTTCCCATTTCCAGGACTCGAGTCCGGCTAACTGGATTCCCTGAATCACTTCACATAATATTACCCTACTCACACTCCAACAGCTCATCAGGTCCCAAAAACCATTTGTCTCCATTTACTTGTATCTATCACCCTCGCGTACACTTGCTAGAAGTCCAAGCCCCTCGCCCACAAAACCTCCTTTACCCCCTCCAACCTTTTCGGGGATGACCCCTACCCTGCTTTCCTTCCCCAACAGATTTATACACTCTCCAAGTCATTCTACTTTGTTCCATTCTCTGAATGACCAGACCACCTCAACAGCCCCTCTTCAACCCTCTGACTAATACTTTTAGAAACTCCACACTTCCTGCTAATTTCCACACTAAAATACAGGAGGTAAATGTGTAGTATTTGGGCATTAGATAAATGTGCTGAAGGAGACTTGATGTATTAGTAGCAGAGTAATTTCCTATTTGGGGTAATAGGATAACTGTTAGCTATATATGTACTCATGAATTTTCAGCTCTGTTTCTAGTTGTATTTGCAAGTGTAAAATTAAAGTTTATATATAAGAAGGGGATGGAAGGGAGCTTCAAAACAAATACAGTGGTCCCTCGTTTTTCGTAGTTAATCCGTTCCTGGAGTTGCTACGATTATCGAAATCTACGATTTTCAAATCAATTTTCCCCATAAGAAATAATGTAAATACAATTAATCCGTTCCTGACACCCAGAAGTATTAAAACAAAAAATTTTTTACATGAAATATAGATGTAGTACATAAACAATACAATGGGAAATGATGAATGAAACATTAACAGCATGACACTTACCTTTATTGGAGATTCTTCTTAGTGTATGGGAGACTGGAGGAGGAGAGAGATTGGATTGTTTACAGTTTGGAAGGAAAATCCCCTTCCAGCAACACCTCAGGTACCAATTGCTTTTCTGGGGTTGCTTCTCTTCTGTTTCTTAATGAAACTAGGACCAGCTTGAGAGTCACTGGAGTCCTGTCTCGCAAAATAACTGGAGAGAGCTCTGTTTCTGGTGTCTCTTTAACACTTCCCTAAAATGGCCCAAGACTTTGTCACTGTACATGTTGCCAACATGGCTTGCAACAACCTTGTCAGGGTGATGTTTCTCCATAAATCTTTCCACTTGTGCCACTTTCATATTGTTCAATGATGTTTCTCTTAAATTCAATCATATTTCTCACCACCTTTACCACAGGCTTGGCACTAGGAGCTTTCTTTGGAGCCATGGTAGCTTATTTAGTATTTGCAAGCACTAAAATGAGTGGAATATTATGAAATATTTCGTAGGAGCACGTGAGGGGACCTTCGCTCACTGGTAAACAATGCCAGACTGGCTGGGTAGGGAGGCCACCCCGGCTCACACCGTGCGTACTACTATTCACGAGTCAACCTATGATTAGCGAGCCCATGTTTATGTGAAAATATCCCTATGATTTCCAAAATCTATGATTCCCGAGAACTACGAAAAACGAGGGACCACTGTATTAGCTGTTACCACCTGAGATAGCATTGGAAGTTTTGTAAAACTTGATCCTTGGCAAAAGTGGGGCTTTGTAGGTTTCTTTGTCCTGGTACATGTAGTTGGTTGAAGGTCTTTTAATTTGTGGTGGTTTGTACAACTTATTTTTAGTAATACTTTTAAGAATTCAGATTTCAGATTGCATTTCAGTCTTCAGGAAACCATACAATATGATATGTTCTGGCAGTTTCTTCTTAATTTTGTCATTCCCGTCATTATTTGTCCCTAATTATTGCCTGATGTCCTGCATTTTTGCTTCAGATTTGTGCCTTGGCTTAGGTGTTTATATAGGCCACTCAAATGTGTACTTAATGTCTTCTGTCCATTTTATGAGCAATGTTGCCATCTTTTTCCACCAGCTTGTCTCGCCTTTGTAGATGCTGGTGTAAGTGCATGGTTGAAGCTTGTATAGTTTCTCGGTTTTCCTTCGCTTGTGGCAGACTCGTTACTCCCATACACATTGTACTCTGTGGCTCAAAAGACTGAGAATTTCAGAGATTTGAAGATCAAGCCCCTAACTTTTTTTTGAGCTTTTTGAATTGGGCAGTATTTTATTGTGTTGATTTGCAGTGAGCTTTTTTTTTGTAGAGTTATGCAGAAACTAAAACGCAGAGGTATTGGGAAGATGGAGGGAATATTTTGAGGAATTGTTAAATGTTGATGAAGATAGGGAAGCTGTGATTTCGTGTATAGGACAAGGAGGAATAACATCTTGTAGGAGTGAGGAAGAGCCAGTTGTGAGTGTGGGGGAAGTTCGTGAGGCAGTAGGTAAAATGAAAGGGGGTAAGGCAGCCGGGATTGATGGGATAAAGATAGAAATGTTAAAAGCAGGTGGGGATATAGTTTTGGAGTGGTTGGTGCAATTATTTAATAAATGTATGGAAGAGGGTAAGGTACCTAGGGATTGGCAGAGAGCATGCATAGTTCCTTTGTATAAAGGCAAAGGGATAAAAGAGAGTGCAAAAATTATAGGGGGATAAGTCTGCTGAGTATACCTGGTAAAGTGTATGGTAGAGTTATTATTGAAAGAATTAAGAGTAAGACTGAGAATAGGATAGCAGATGAACAAGGAGGCTTTAGGAAAGGTAGGGGGTGTGTGGACCAGGTGTTTACAGTGAAACACATAAGTGAACAGTATTTAGATAAGGCTAAAGAGGTCTTTGTGGCATTTATGGATTTGGAAAAGGCGTATGCCAGGGTGGATAGGGGGGCAATGTGGCAGATGTTGCAAGTGTATGGTGTAGGAGGTAGGTTACTGAAAGCAGTGAAGAGTTTTTACGAGGATAGTGAGGCTCAAGTTAGAGTATGTAGGAAAGAGGGAAATTTTTTCCCAGTAAAAGTAGGCCTTAGACAAGGATGTGTGATGTTACCGTGGTTGTTTAATATATTTATAGATGGGGTTGTAAAAGAAGTAAATGCAAGGGTCTTGGCAAGAGGCGTGGAGTTAAAAGATAAAGAATCACACACAAAGCGGGAGTTGTCACAGCTGCTCTTTGCTGATGACACTGTGCTCTTGGGAGATTCTGAAGAGAAGTTGCAGAGATTGGTGGATGAATTTGGTAGGGTGTGCAAAAGAAGAAAATTAAAGGTGAATACAGGAAAGAGTAAGGTTATGAGGATAACAAAAAGATTAGGTGATGAAAGATTGAATATCAGATTGGAGGGAGAGAGTATGGAGGAGGTGAATGTATTCAGATATTTGGGAGTGGACGTGTCAGCGGATGGGTCTATGAAAGATGAGGTGAATCATAGAATTGATGAGGGGAAAAGAGTGAGTGGTGCACTTAGGAGTCTGTGGAGACAAAGAACTTTGTCCTTGGAGGCAAAGAGGGGAATGTATGAGAGTATAGTTTTACCAACGCTCTTATATGGGTGTGAAGCATGGGTGATGAATGTTGCAGCGAGGAGAAGGCTGGAGGCAGTGGAGATGTCATGTCTGAGGGCAATGTGTGGTGTGAATATAATGCGGAGAATTCGTAGTTTGGAAGTTAGGAGGAGGTGCGGGATTACCAAAACTGTTGTCCAGAGGGCTGAGGAAGGGTTGTTGGGGTGGTTCGGACATGTAGAGAGAATGGAGCGAAACAGAATGACTTCAGGGGTATATCAGTCTGTAGTGGAAGGAAGGTGGGGTAGGGGTCGGCCTAGGAAAGGTTGGAGAGAGGGGGTAAAGGAGGTTTTGTGTGCGAGGGGCTTGGGCTTCCAGCAGGCATGCGTGAGCGTGTTTGATAGGAGTGAATGGAGACAAATGGTTTTTAATACTTGACGTGCTGTTGGAGTGTGAGCAAAGTAACATTTATGAAGGGGTTCAGGGAAACCATCAGGCCGGACTTGAGTCCTGGAGATGGGAAGTACAGTGCCTGCACTCTGAAGGAGGGGTGTTAATGTTGCAGTTTAAAAACTGTAGTGTAAAGCACCCTTCTGGCAAGACAGTGATGGAGTGAATGATGGTGAAAGTTTTTCTTTTTCGGGCCACCCTGCCTTGGTGGGAATCGGCCAGTGTGATAATAATAATTAAAATAAAACGCAGTTTAGTACTAGGTGGTAAACGAGCTCGTGTTCACATGCAGAGCCTAGCATTTATGGTTTGCAGATCTAGCTACAGTTTTCCTGGTTGTGCATTCACCAGTAGTTGGTCTAGCGTTATCTGACTTGGGGGCTGATGTGTGAGTATCACTGATTTATGACCTGTCTTCGTGGATCTCTGGCAATAGGGTATGAATTGAATCTGTTTATAGAATTTAAAGATGTAATAGTACAATAAAACAAAATCTGAATAGACAAGAGAAGGTAAATGAAGATGATTTTTAGCACCATCAAAAATACAAAGGAATGCAATACTGACCAAATTGGTCAATATTTTGAATAACATTGTTAACCTGAACTGAGGTGTGCATGGATGCAGAGAATTTTGGTAATTTCTAACTGATTAGATAAGCTTGATCAAGTATCCTAAGCAACTGTGTATCATTCTTATTAGAAGTCTTTTGAATAATACCAGGACATGTGCATGTGTTGCATATTGATGCTGAAAGATTATGGGAGTAGAGTGGAGGACAATGAGGAAGACACTTGAGATTCCTAGCTAACTTTGTTTAAATTTTTGGTGGTTTAATGAGGCCTTTTCAGAATGAATGGTAGTATAAACATTATTAACCTGCTTGATATGTATATAAAGAAGAATTAAAATGTTCAAAAGATTTTGAGGTATAGGTAAAGCAGTAATTAATGAGTTATATTCCAGAGTGCAGTTGGCAGTATGTACATACCAGATGGTGAAACACGACTTCCCAGGCAGATGGACAACTATTGTCGATAAAATTAGCATATATCTCCAGAATCCAGACACTATGCTTTGGAATGGAAGCCTTCTCTGTCTTTATCAACTTGTCAAAAATTTTGAGTGAGTATAAAGAAGTGAGGCACACTGTTGCACCTCATGGATGGATCATTGCATTATTTTGGGGCTGTATTCAGCATCACTAGGTTTATTACAGAGCTCTGTTCATGTTCACTAATAATTTTTTTTTTTTTAAAGGGAGGGTGATGTATTCAAAATGGAGGACAAGAGTTATTATATAGGGGAGGCCTGGGGACTTGATTAGTGAACAAAGGAAAGGTTACTTTAGTGGCTGGAATGTCTAGTGTTTATTTTTGAGTCTGGGTCTGAATGTGAAATTTGTTAAATTGTGTAAAATTGGCCAAATTGGCAACTTCTGGTACCATTACTTGATAGTTGAATGGGCAGTTAATTTCTTGCACTCAGTGGATAGAACACAAGGGGCATGTGTATAATAGTCAGGAATTGAGTCAGTTTGAGCAGTGAAATAGGCTTCAATGTGGGCAAAGTCAATCCTAAAGTGCTACCCAGCCTCCAGTTGTGATTTTACCCACTTTCAGGCCTATGTTAGGTCAATTTCATTGCTGAAACTGATCCCAGGCTATTTAGCTGGCTTGATTTCCTTTGTAATCTTGCCCTGTGTAATTCAATAAGCATTCCTTCAATTTTTTTATTTTTGGTGTCATTAAGTATAGAAAAAATTCCTCTTAAGTAGAAATTCTTTTCGATCCCAGAAAGATTTTATACTTTGAAAAATTGTTGCTCTGAAGGGACTTTAATTTTAGGGCTTTTTGACAGTGATGTCCTATAGTTACATGTCCATGCAGGCTTTGTAGTAGGTTACAGGCTGATAAATTAGACACATGTGCAACTCTTGGGTATCTTTATTGAGGAAACGTTTCGCCACACAGTGGCTTCATCAGTCCATACAAAGGAGAATCTTGAAGAACAGGAGGAGAATGAGGTAATCAGTCCCTCAACCTTGAGTCGATGTGGTCAGTCCATCAATCTTGAATAGAATACGGCATACGTGCTGAGAAGGAGCTTATAAACCGTTGGCAGGAGAAGTGCAGCAGTCATAGGTGGTGTAACATTTGTTCAATGTTGAAGTAGGTCGTGCCCAAGAATTAGGCAAGCGAAGAATTCCCAAGTAATAAGATCCCAAGAAGTTGCAGTGTCTGACAGGTTACAGGCTGTTGGGAAGTGTCTTCCCAGTTTTTGTTGCCAGCAACAAGTCTTCACAGTGGTGATGGTGATAAGCAAAAGTTAGTCCTTGGAAACTAACACAAATACAGTGGACCCCCGCATAGCGATATTAATCCGTGCAAGAGAGCTCATTGTTATGCGAAATAATCGTTATGCGAATGAATTTTCCCCATAAGAAATAATGGAAATCAAATTAATCCGTGCAAGACACCCAAAAGTATGAAAAAAAACATTTTTACCACATGAAATGTTAATTTTAATACACACAAACTGAAAAAGGCGTGCACAATTACATGACACTTACTTTTATTGAAGATCTGGTGATGATTGATGGGATGGGAGGAGGAGAGTGTGTTAGTGTTTAGAAGGGGAATCCCCTTCCATTAAGACTTGAGGTGTCAAGTTCTTTTCTGGGGTTACTTTCCTTCTTCTTTTAATGCCACTAGGACCAGCTTCAGAGTCGCTGGAGTTCTGTCGCACAACATATCTGTCCATAGTGGCCTGTACCTCTCGTTCCTTTATGACTTCCCTAAAGTGTTTCACAACATTGTCAGTGTAATAGTCACCAGCACGGCTTGCAATAGCTGTGTGAGGGTGATTTTCATCCATAAAGGTTTGCACTTTCAGCCACATTGCACAGATTTCCTTAATCTTTGTAGTAGGCAATTTCTTCAATTTCTCTCTCCCCTCCTTCGAACCAGTTTCCTCAGGTCTGGCCTCTTGCTGTTGAAGTTGATCTATCAGCTCATCAGTGGTTAGTTCTTCATTGTCCTCCTCCACCAACTCTTCCACATCATCCCCACTAACCTCCAACCCCAAGGACTTTCCCAATGCCATAATGGATTCCTCAACTGGCATAGGATTCTCAGGGTTAGCCTCAAACCCTTCAAAATCCCTTTTGTCTACACATTCTGGCCACAGTTTCTTCCAAGCAGAGTTTAAGGTCCTCTTAGTCACTCCCTCCCAAACCTTACCTATAAGGTTTACACAATTGAGGATATTAAAGTGATCTCTCCAATAGTCTCTTAGAGTCAGTTGAGTTTCTGAGGTCACTACAAAGCACCTTTGAAACAGAGCTTTTGTGTACAGTTTTTTGAAGTTTGCAATAACCTGCTGGTCCATGGGCTGCAGGAGAGGAGTGGTATTAGGAGGCAAAAACTTCACCTTAATGAATTTCATGTCCCCATAAAGTCGCTCTGCCACGTCTGTAGGATGACCAGGGGCATTGTCTAACACCAGGAGGCACTTAAGTTCTAATTTCTTTTCAGTTAGGTAATCTTTCACATTGGGGGCAAATGCATGGTGTAACCAGTCATAGAAAAATCCCTAGTGACCCATGCCTTACTGTTTGCCCTCCACAGCACACACAAATTAGCCTTGAGGACATTCTTTTGCCTGAACGGTCTGGGAGTTTCAGAGTGATACACTAATAAAGGCTTCACTTAGCAATCACCAGTAGCATTGGAAACAATCAACAGAGTAAGCCTGTCTTTCATAGGCTTATGTCCTGGGAGTGCCTTTTCCTCCTGAGTAATGTACGTCCTGCTTGGCATTTTCTTCCAAAACAGGCCTGTTTCATCACAATTAAACACTTGTTCAGGTTTCACTCCTTCACTTTCTATGTACTCCTTGAATTCCTGCACATATTTTTCAGCTGCTTTGTGGTCCGAACTGGCAGCCTCACCATGCCTTATCACACTATGTATGCCACTACGCCTCTTAAATCTCTCAAACCAACCTTTGCTGGCCTTAAATTCACTCGCATCATCACTAGTTGCAGGCATTTTTTTAATTAAATCCTCATGCAACTTCCTAGCCTTTTCACTTATGATCACTTGAGAGATGCTATCTCCTGCTATCTGTTTTTCATTTATCCACACCAATAAGAGTCTCAACATCTTCCATCAGTTGCGATCTCTGTTTCGAAAACACAGTTAAACCTTTGGCAAGAACATATTCCTTGATTGCGTTTTTGTTGCCCACAATAGTAGCGATGGTTGATTGGGGTTTACTATACAACCTGGCCAGCTCAGAGACACGCACTCCACTTTCATACTTATCAATGATCTCTTTCTTCATCTCTATAGTAATTCTCACCCTTATTCCTGTAGGGTTGCCACTAGAAGCTTTCTTGGGGCCCATGGTCACTTATTTTGCAGATAAAATCACCAGAAACACTGTAATATACGAAATGTTCCGATTGTATGCTTTGATGTTACTGCGGAGGCTGGCTGGTAAACAATGCCTCCGGCGGAACATGCGAGGCTGGCTAAGGGCGCACATTAGACGCGTCTCGGACGAACAGCGTTGAGCGGGTTTTTTAGCGGTATGCGAGGCAAAATCTTAGCGATAAAATGTAGCGGTATGCGGATTTAACGTTATGTAAGGCCAACGGTATGCGGGGGTCCACTGTATTGACCATTTGTTTTTACCTTTCCTCACCCCTCTCCATATATTTGTTCTCTGTGGTAGGGGAAAACAGAAAAGCCTCCATAGATTGGCCTAATGCAATAGCACTGTCTTATTTACATCTGGCACAATTTTTTTTTACATTGGTCAATTCCCATGTTAATATAAAGTAAATGATAGAAAATTCTGAATTTAGAATTTCAGTATACTACCCCATGATAAGAGATTTTCATGAAAAACTTTCCTTGACATGTATGTATCTGCAGTTAAGTTAAGTAATGTGTGTGTGGAATTTTGTTTTATTCATCAGGAAACAGAACAAGTGTTTCCTGGTAGGTCATAACCTGTAAAATGACCCACTGACTTTCTTTTTTAAATTGTCTTAAGTGTTAAAAGGTGTTAGTTTAAATATAATTTTATGGTTATTGCAGTCCTATTATGTAACCATTTTTTTTAACGCGTTGGCTGTTTCCCACCAAGGCAGGTGACCCAAAAGAAAAATCCAGAAGAAAGAAGAAACTTTCATTATCATTCAACACTTTCACCATCACTCAATATTTAATTAAAAAAATCATGTCTTGTAAGAACAATGTTTAAATGGGTTTTAAGTCAGATTAGGATGAGATTGGGATAAATGAATAGTGATGGTTGATGATCTTTCCTGGAGCAGTTGTATGTATTGCTTGAGAGACAAAATCAACCTAGAATAAGTCAGGAACAGTGCTACCAGGACCAACCAGTGCCAAGGTAGTTTCCAAGATCCTGATACAAAATTTATTTATCTACAAATTACTATGTTATAGTATACTTATAACTGTAATTATGAAATTGGGTTTTCCTTAGATATAAAAAGAAGGAAGATAGAGGTCCACTTCATGAAGCAATGAGAATGCTGCTTCCAATGTGTTATGAGCGAATGGTACACCTTCTGCCAGACCCATCTGAGCATTCCACCCTCCTACAAAAGCTTGTTCTCAAGATTTTTTATGCTCTAACACAGGTAATGGTATAAAAGTTCAGTTAGCAAAATGTTATGTTCTTCCACCTACTGTATGTGATTGTTTAACCATTGCTTTGTATAGATAAACTTTTCAAAAAGACCTTGCCATTATCCTGTTCTCACTCTCCGCCTGTGTTGTAATGACTAAGTGTTGATATCTGAAAAACTATTTTTCCATGAATTGCCCTGACATAAAAATAGGAAATTCTATTTTTGACCTTGAAATTTCCCAAGTCAAGAACATGTACGCTTTCTCTTCACGCAGTATCATTTACCGCTAGAGTTGCTAAGCCGTGAGCATTTCACTGAATGGATGGAAGTTATACGACAAGTAGCAGACCGTCCAGTACCAGATCAGACCTTGCAAGTAGATGAAGAAGAAAGACCTGATTTACCATGGTGGAAGATTAAGAAATGGGCTCTTCATATCCTGGCTAGACTATTTGAGAGGTCAGTGTAACTTGTCTTGGTAACCTAACCAGACCTGTGTTGTGATGGTACATTGATGAAAGTGCTATAATTGGTTAGTTAATAATTTTTGCTGAAAATTTCATACAGTACAGTGTGTTGTGATATGTAGAACTTTTTTTTGTTTCCACCTCGCAACAAAGTAGGGTAGAAAATAAATGTACCATTTATTTAATCCTTAAAATATTTTTCTTAAATTTACACACGGCTCTCACTTTTTCCCTGTAAATATGTCAGATTATTGTTGGCTCAAATTTGATGCTGGCTGACATTTTATGTAAGTGTTTTGAGTATCCTACAACCTTGTCATAGAAAAAAAGTGAGGCTTGGTTGGTTCAGTGTATCATACAGGACATGTCAGCAACCTGTGTGATATGCTGCTCAACATCTGAGTAAGCAAATTTAGTTTTGTTTAGGCTTGTGCACATAGCATAACTGTGTTTTAAGATATTCTTAAGGACCCACACATTATTTTATTATTATATTTTTATTATCACACTGGCCGATTCCCACCAAGGCAGGGTGGCCCGAAAAAGAAAAACTTTCACCATCATTCACTCCATAACTGTCTTGCCAGAAGGGTGCTTTACACTACAGTTTTTAAACTGCAACATTAACACCCCTCCTTCAGAGTGCAGGCACTGTACTTCCCATCTCCAGGACTCAAGTCCGGCCTGCCGGTTTCCCTGAGCCCCTTCATAAATGTTACTTTGCTCACACTCCAACAGCACGTCAAGTATTAAAAACCATTTGTCTCCATTCACTATCAAACACGCTCATGCATGCCTGCTGGAAGTCCAAGCCCCTCGCACACAAAACCACCTTTACCCCCTCCCTCCAACCTTTCCTAGGCCGACCCCTACCCCGCCTTCCTTCCACTACAGACTGATACACTCTTGAAGTCACTCGGTTTCTCTCCATTCTCTCTACATGTCCGAACCACCCCAACAACCCTTCCTCAGCCCTCTGGACAACAGTTTTGGTAATCCCGCACCTCCTCCTAACTTCCAAACTACGAATTCTCTGCATTATATTCACACCACACATTGCCCTCAGACAAGACATCTCCACTGCCTCCAGTCTTCTCCTTGCTGCAACATTCATCACCTATGCTTCACACCCATATAAGAGCGTTGGTAAAACTATACTCTCATACATTCCCCTCTTTGCCTCCAAGGACAAAGTTCTTTGTCTCCACAGACTCCTAAGTGCACCACTCACCCTTTTCCCCTCATCAATTCTATGATTCACCTCATCTTTCATAGACCCATCCGCTGACACGTCCACTCCCAAATATCTGAATACATTCACCTCCTCCATACTCTCTCCCTCCAATCTGATATCCAATCTTTCATCACCTAATCTTTTTGTTATCCTCATTACCTTACTCTTTCCTGTATTCACTTTTAATTTTCTTCTTTTACACACCCTACCAAATTCATCCACCAATCTCTGCAGCTTCTCTTCAGAATCTCCCAAGAGCACAGTGTCATCAGCAAAGAGCAACTGTGACAACTCCCACTTTGTGTGATTCTTTATCTTTTAACTCCACGCCTCTTGCCAAGACCCTCGCATTTACTTCTCTTACAACCCCATCTATAAATATATTAAACAACCACGGTGACATCACACATCCTTGTCTAAGGCCTACTTTTACTGGGAAATAATTTCCCTCTTTCCTACATACTCTAACTTGAGCCTCACTATCCTCGTAAAAACTTCACTGCTTTCAGTAACCTACCTCCCACACCATACATCTGCCACATTGCCCCCCTATCCACCCTGTCATACGCCTTTTCCAAATCCATAAATGCCACAAAGACCTCTTTAGCCTTATCTAAATACTGTTCACTTATATGTTTCACTGTAAACACCTGGTCCACACACCCCCTACCTTTCCTAAAGCCTCCTTGTTCATCTATCCTATTCTCCATCTTACTCTTAATTCTTTCAATAATAACTCTACCATTCACTTTACCAGGTATACTCAACAGACTTATCCCCCTATAATTTTTGCACTCTCTTTTGTCCCCTTTGCCTTTATACAAAGGAACTATGCATGCTCTCTGCCAATCCCTAGGTACCTTACCCTCTTCTATACATTTATTAAATAATTGCACCAACCACTCCTAAACTATATCCCCACCTGCTTTTAACATTTCTATCTTTATCCCATCAATCCCGGTTGCCTTACCCCCTTTCATTTTACCTACTGCCTCACGAACTTCCCCCACACTCACAACTGGCTCTTCCTCACTCCTACAAGATGTTATTCCTCCTTGCCCTATACATGTAATCACAGCTTCCCTATCTTCATCAACATTTAACAATTCCTCAAAATATTCCCTCCATCTTCCCAATACCTCTAACTCTCCCTTTAATACTCTCCTCTCCTATTTTTACTGACAAATCCATTTGTTCTCTAGGCTTCCTTAACTTGTTAATCTCACTCCAAACCTTTTTCTTATTTTCAACAAAATTTGTTGATAACATCTCACCCACTCTCTCATTTGCTCTCTTTTTACATTGCTTCACCACTCTCTTAACCTCTCTTTTTCTCCATATACTCTTCCCTCCTTGCATCACTTCTACTTTGTAAAAACTTGTCATATGCTAACTTTTTCTCCCTTACTACTCTCTTTACATCGTCATTCCACCAATCGCTCCTCTTCCCTCCCGCACCCACTTTCCAGTAACCACAAACTTTTGCTGAACACTCTTACACTACATTTTTAAACCTACCCCATACCTCTTCGACCCCATTGCCTATGCTCTCATTAGCCCATCTATCCTCCAATGGCTGTTTATATCTTACCCTAACTGCCTCCTCTTTTAGTTTATAAACCTTCACCTCTCTCTTCCCTGATGCTTCTATTCTCCTTGTATCCCATCTACCTTTTACTCTGTGTAGCTACAACTAGAAAGTGATCTGATATATGTGGCCCCTCTATAAACATGTACATCCTGAAGTCTACTCAACAGTTTTTTGTCTACCAATACATAATCCAACAAATTACTATCATTTCGCCCTACATCATATCTTGTATACTTACTTATCCTCTTTTTCTTAAAATATGTATTACCTATAACTAAACCCCTTTCTATACAAAGTTCAATCGAAGGGCTCCCATTATCATTTACACCTGGCACCCCAAACTTACCTACCACACCCTCTCTAAAAGTTTCTCCTACTTTAGCATTCAGGTCCCCTACCACAATTACTCTCTCACTTGGTTCAAAGGCTCCTGTACATTCACTTAACATCTCCCAAAATCTCTCTCTCTCCTCTACATTCCTCTCTTCTCCAGGTGCATACACGCTTTTTATGACCCACTTTTCGCATCCAACCTTTACTTCAATCCACATAATTCTTGAATTTACACATTCATATTCTCTTTTCTCCTTCCATAACTGATCCTTCAATATTACTGCTACCCCTTCCTTTGCTCTAACTCTCTCAGATACTCCAGATTTAATCCCATTTATTTCCCCCCACCAAAACTCCCCTACCCCCTTCAGCTTTGTTTCACTTAGGGCCAGGACATCCAACTTCTTTTCATTCATAACATCAGCAATCATCTGTTTCTTGTCATCCACACTACATCCACGCACATTCAAGCATCCCAGTTTTATAAAGTTTTTCTTCTTCTCTTTATGGGCACAAACGGCTTTAAGATTACAAAGTATAATTTTTCTCCAAGATAATAAAAAAAATTCAAAGTTTTTTCCAAAATAATAAAACATTAACATTTAAAATATAAATTTTCCTTACAAATTCTTTCTAACATTTTCCCCTTATTTAATTTTATATTTAAGTTCATAGGGTCCCTTTTAACATTTGGGGAAAATTACCAAAACTTTAAAATTAAATTGATTTAAAATTTTCAACAAAATTTTAGGGTTTGGCCCTTTAATATCACATAAAACTTTTAAAAATTTTTTAGGGGGAAAAGGTTTTTGAATTTTGGGGTAAAATTTTTTAATTTGACTTCCACAATCGACTTTAAATTATCCTTCCCCTGACCGGAATATAGGGGGAAACCCCCTTTTCCTTAAATTCAATATCGATTTATCCTTTATTTCAAAGCCCCTTATTTGGTTTGGTATTGGGGGAATTTTTCTTTTATTTTAAATGCTCAGCTGTTTTTCTAGCCCCTCTCAAAACATTAAATTTCCCAGTTTAAAGTTTTTTTTGGGGAAAACCTTTGTTTTTCTTTTTTTTTTCAATTTAAAAAACCCAGACTTTTAAAAAAAAAAAAAATAAAACTTTAAAATTCGATTTTTCCTTTTCCTACCAGCCTTTGCATAAGGGGGGTGGCCCAAAAAAAAAATTGGTTCTTTCCTTTTAAATTAGTTATACAAAAAGGGGGTTCCCCAAAAAAACCCCAAATTTTTCCCTTTAACATGTTAAACAGGGGAAGAAGTTTCTTTCCCTTCCCCATAATAAAAAACAAGAAAGGGTTAAAAAGGGAAAAGAAACCCTGGATAATAGGAAATTAAGGACAAATTAAAAGAAAAGAAACCCAATTTGTATTATAGCCACAAAGGGAATTACCATAAGTAAAAAAATTAACCTGTTTTTTTCATATTTTGGCAGACAAAAACCCCGGGGGATCCTCCCAAACCATACAATCACCATTTTAATACCCCCCCTTCGACGGTAAACTTCCCCTTCCCTGCCTCAATCTACTAATAACTTAAAATTCCTATTGAATTCCTTTTGATTTTTTAAAAGCCCGGGATTCCAAATTGTAACCTTAATTTTGACTGCGCGGGGAAAAAGGGAAAAGCATAAGTAAGGTTTTCCACATAAAGATAGGTTTTAAAATGTGAGGAAAATTAAATCGGTGTGGGTTCTTGATCAACTGGGTTTTGATGAGTGCAAGGGCCTGCAGGTTGCAAGTATGGTGCAGTGTTAATAATTTGGGTGACTGAGCAGTTATGAGGGAAGTTGAATTACTCTAGAAACCTGGTCATTGGTATATCACAGGGTTTTAATTTTTCCAAAATACTAGTAGATACTGAAGTGGGAGTTAGTGCTATACATTAAAATAAATTTTTTTGTTTTGCAGATATGGTTGTCCTAGTACAGTAAGTAAAGAATACAAACAGTTTGCAATGTGGTTTATCAAAACCTTTACACAAGGCATCCTCCAGGTGTTGATGAAGATCCTTGACCTGTATCGTAATAAAATTTATATATCTCCTAGAGTCCTGCAGCAGACTCTTCATTATTTAGAACAAGGGTGAGTTTACATAATCCTACTATCCCACTTCTTATTTTCATTGGTTTGGAGAGACTTGCTTGGAAAGGATAGTCAAATCCTTCAATTTATTTGCTTTATTCAACATCACAGTACCTAGTACTACCACTAGTGAAACATCCTCTGTAGTATTTCAACTAATTAAAAAAAAAAATTAGTGTACTACTTGTAAATTGCTTTTGCTCAGATTGCTGTTGGTGCCTGTAAGGACCTCCAGGAAATTGAATCTTGACATTGTGAGCTTTTTTTTTTCTCTCCATTAAAGCTTAATTTAGTATGATAGTATTTATTTACATTGTACTATTAGCTTTTAGGTTTTTTACTGTTGGCATTTTTATTTAGGTTCATATTTTACCAGAAGTGCTAGGTGAACTCATAGGTCAGAATTCTTTACAAATGTATGTACCTCCCTTCCATACCTGTGTGTGGACATGTTTTTCTTCAGTCTGTCATTCTTACAATACCCTCATCTATCTGTTCCTAGAAAATACCTACTTGAAAAAATATTCCTTGGATTTAGTATCATTATTATTATTTATTATTATTACAATGTCCAAAGTCTCACTTCGAACTTAAATGGCCAGTTTCTAGATTTTTCTTGATACTTTACTTTACGGTGGACCCCCGGTATTCAATGGCATCGGTATTCGATAAATCCGGTATTCGATGCATTATATCGCAAAAAAAATTTTCCTCGGTATTCGATTGAAAACCCGGTGTTCGATACGATTCGTAAGAGACGTGTCCACGTGTGGCCTGAACTGCCCCGTGTGTGCCAGTGTTTACAAGCCAGCCAGTGTTTGCGCATCTAAGGATACATTCGGTACATTCCATATTATCCATATTATCACTGTGATTTTATCTGCAAAATAAGTCACCATGGGCCCCAAGAAAGCTTCTAGTGCCAACCCTTCGAGAAAAGTCTCTAATGACTTACGAAATGAAGAAAGAGATAATTGCAAAGTACGAAAGTGGAGTGCATGTGTCGGAGCTGGTTAGGTTGTATAATAAACCCCAATCAACCATCTCTACTATAGTGACCAGGAAAACAGCAATCAAGGAAGCTGTTCTTGCAAAAGGTGCAACTGTGATTACGAAACAGCGACCGCAAGTGTTAGAAATTGTTGAGAGATTGTTATTGGTGTGGATAAATGAAAAACAGATAGCAGGAGATAGCATGTCTCAAGCGATCATTTGTGAAAAGGCTAGGCAGTTGCATGACGATTTGGTAAAGAAATTGCCTGCAACTAGTGGTGATGTGAGTGAATTTAAGGCCAGCAAAGGTTGGTTTGAAAGATTTAAGAATCGTAGTAGCATACATAGTGTGATTAGACATGGTGAGGCTGCCAGTTCGAACCAAAAAGCAGCTGAAAAATGTGTGAAGGAATTCAAGGATTACATAGACAGTGAAGACGTGAAACCTGAACAAGTGTTTAATTGTGACGAAACAGGCCTGTTTTGAAAGAAAATGCCAAGCAGGACCTACATTACTCAGGAGGACAAGGCACTCCCAGGACATAAGCCTATGAAAGACAGGCTTTTTCTTCTCATGTGTGCCAATGTTAGTGGTGATTGCAAAGTGAAGCCTTTATTGGTGTATCACTCTGAAACTCCCAGTGTGTTCAGGAAAAACAATGTCCTCAAGGCTAATTTGTGTGTGCTGTGGAGGGCAAACAGTAAGGCATGGGTCACTAGGGACTTTTTCTATGACTGGTTACACCAAGCATTTGCCCCGACTGTGAAAAATTACCTAACTGAAAAGAAATTAGACCTTAAGTGCCTCCTGGTATTAGACAATGCCCCTGGTCATCCTACAGACTTGGCAGAGCGACTTTCTGGGGACATGAGCTTCATTAAGGTCAAGTTTTTGCCTCCTAATACCACTCCTCTCCTGCAGCCCATGGACCAGCAGGTCATTTCCAACTTCAAGAAACTGTACACAAAAGCTATGTTTCAAAAGTGGTTTATAGTGACCACAGAAACTCAGCTGACTCTAAAAGAGTTTTGGAAGGATCACTTCAATATCCTCAGTTGTATAAACCTTATAGGTACACCGACTTGGGAGGGAGTGACTAAGAGGACCTTGAACTCTGCTTGGAAAAAACTGGCCAGAATGTGTAGACAAAAGGGATTTTGAAGGATTTGAGGCTAACCCTGAGAATCCTATGCCAGTTGAGGAATCCATTGTGACATTGGGGAAGTCCTTGGGGTTGGAGGTTAGTGAGGAGGATGTGGAAGAGTTGGTGGAGGAGGACAGTGAAGAACTAACCACTGATGAGCTGATAGATCATCTTCAACAGCAAGAGGCCACACTTGAGGAAACTGCTTCGGAGGAGGGGATAGAGAAATTGAAGAAGTTGCCTACTTCAAAGATTAAGGAAATCTGTGCAATGTGGCTTAAAGTGCAAACCTTTTTTGATGACAATCACCCTAACACAGCTATTGCAAGCCGTGCTGGTGACAATTACACTGACAATGTTGTGAAACACTTTAGGAATGTCATAAAGGAACGGAAGGTACAGGCCACTGTGGACAGATATGTTGTGCGACAGAAATCCAGTGACACTCAAGCTGGTCCTAGTGGCATTAAAAGAAGGGAAGTAACCCTGGAAAAGGACTTGCTACCTCAAGTCCTAATGGAAGGGGATTCCCCTTCTAAACACTAACACCTCTCCCCTCCTCCCATCCCATCAATCACCACCAGATCTTCATTAAGGGTAAGTGTCAGTTATTTTATTGTTATTGTAATTATTCTGTTGCATTAAACTTAATATTTCATGTAGTAAAATTTTTTTTTTCATACTTTTGGGTGTCTTGCACAGATTAATTTGATTTCCATTATTTCTTATGAGGAAAATTGATTCGGTTTTCGATATTTTCGATATTCGATGAGCTCTCAGGAACGGATTAATATCGAATACCGGGAGTCCACTGTAGTTTCATTCACACTCCTACAGCCTCTTCCTTCTTGCTTTGTTCTTCCTAACAAGTGTTTTGTTGTGTCCTCTTATTAGTGCAATACAATAGATATTTGCAAAAGAATTTATATGAAATTTTAATGTGGAAATTTACAGTAAGTGGGTTTTACAAAGCTCTCATTATTTTTTTTTATCTACTGCTAAGAATTAGTGATTGAATATACATTGTCTAAAAGTGAATGTATGCTTATTTCTACCAATTTTTACTGTAATTATACTGTTGTCTAGTAGGATGAAAGTTAAACATCACTTAAAACCTTTAAAGTTAAAAAAAAAAAAAAATGTATGAGGAGCATCCAAAGTGTGTGACCTTTGTGTGGCTATATGGGCTTTCCTTCTACTGCATATTCTTGTAAGGGTCTCCAGTTAGTCTTAAAATATTTAAATAATTTTCTTTTTTTTAATGTGGGTCAGTCTTATAGCTTGCACCACACAATAAAATGGCACGCATGTTATATGGAGTAAGTTAACTATATATGCTTTATTACAGTGTGGGCCAGTCCATAGCATGGAAGCTTCTCAAGCCTCACATGTTATCAGTGGTTCAAGATGTTCTCTTTCCCCTCATGTGCTATTCAGATTCTGATCAAGAACTGTGGAATTCAGACCCATATGAGTATGTTAGAGTAAAATTTGGTGAGTTCCTGTATGATATTATTGTTTACAGCATTAGGGTAGTTTTTTTTTTTTTTCAACAAACTGGTCATATCACACTGAGACAGGGTGACCTAAAAAGAAGAGCGAAAATTTTTCTCTTTAAATTTAGTAATATATATAGGAGAAGGGGTTATTAGCCCCTTGCTCCCAGCATTGTAGTCTCCTCTTAAGACACACATGACTTGCAGAGGAAGAATTCTGTTCCACTTCCCCATAGAGAATTAGGATAATCTTAGAATTGAATGATAAATTTTGTCTTAATGGTTTCCCTTGTAAATAATTTACTGCTAAGTACTATTGGAGGATAGATGGGCTAATGAGAGCATAGGCAATGGGGTCAAAGAGGTATGGGGTAGGTTTAAAAATGTAGTGTTAGTGTGTTCAGCAGAAGTTTGTGGTTACAGGAAAGTGGGTGCGGGAGGGAAGAGGAGCGATTGGTGGAATGATGATGTAAAGAGAGTAGTAAGGGAGAAAACGTTAGCATATGAGAAGTTTTTACAAAGTAGAAGTGATGCAAGGAGGGAAGAGTATATGGAGAAAAAGAGAGAGGTTAAGAGTGGTGAAGCAATGTAAAAAGAGAGCAAATGAGAGAGTGGGTGAGATGTTATCAACAAATTTTGTTGAAAATAAGAAAAAGTTTTGGAGTGAGATTAACAAGTTAAGGAAGCCTAGAGAACAAATGGATTTGTCAGTTAAAAATAGGAGAGGAGAGTTATTAAATGGAGAGTTAGAGGTATTGGGAAGATGGAGGGAATTTTTGAGGAATTGTTAAATGTTGATGAAGATAGGGAAGCTGTGATTTCGTGTATAGGGCAAGGAGGAATAACATCTTGTAGGAGTGAGGAAGAGCCAGTTGTGAGTGTGGGGGAAGTTCGTGAGGCAGTAGGTAAAATGAAAGGGGGTAAGGCAGCCGGGATTGATGGGATAAAGATAGAAATGTTAGAAGCAGGTGGGGATATAGTTTAGGAGTGGTTGGTGCAATTATTTAATAAATGTATGGAAGAGGGTAAGGTACCTAGGGATTGGCAGAGAGCATGCATAGTTCCTTTGTATAAAGGCAAAGGGGACAAAAGAGAGTGCAAAAATTATAGGGGGAGAAGTCTGTTGAGTATACCTGGTAAAGTGTATGGTAGAGTTATTATTGAAAGAATTAAAAGTAAGACGGAGAATAGGATAGCAGATGAACAAGGAGGCTTTAGGAAAGGTAGGGGGGGTGTGGACCAGGTGTTTACAGTGAAACATATAAGTGAACAGTATTTAGATAAGGCTAAAGAGGTCTTTGTGGCATTTATGGATTTGGAAAAGGCATATGACAGGGTGGATAGGGGGGCAATGTGGCAGATGTTGCAGGTGTATGGTGTAGGAGGTAGGTTACTGAAAGCAGTGAAGAGTTTTTACGAGGCTAGTGAGGCTCAAGTTAGAGTATGTAGGAAAGAGGGAAATTATTTCCCAGTAAAAGTAGGCCTTAGACAAGGATGTGTGATGTCACCTTGGTTGTTTAATATATTTATAGATGGGGTTGTAAGAGAAGTAAATGCGAGGGTCTTGACAAGAGGCGTGGAGTTAAAAGATGAAGAATCACACATAAAGTGGGAGTTGTCACAGTTGCTCTTTGCTGATGACACTGTGCTCTTGGGAGATTCTGAACAGAAGTTGCAGAGATTGGTGGATGAATTTGGTAGGGTGTGCAAAAGAAGAAAATTAAAAGTGAATACAGGAAAGAGTAAGGTTATGAGGATAACAAAAATATTAGGTGATGAAAGATTGGATATCAGATTGGAGGGAGAGAGTATGGAGGAGGTGAATGTATTCAGATATTTGGGAGTGGACGTGTCAGCGGATGGGTCTATGAAGGATGAGGTGAATCATAGAATTTGATGAGGGGAAAAGGGTGAGTGGTGCACTTAGGAGTCTGTGGAGACAAAGAACTTTGTCCTTGGAGGCAAAGAGGGGAATGTATGAGAGTATAGTTTTACCAACACTCTTATATGGGTGTGAAGCATGGGTGATGAAAGTTGCAGCAAGGAGAAGGCTGGAGGCAGTGGAGATGTCATGTCTGAGGGCAATGTGTGGTGTGAATATAATGCAGAGAATTCGTAGTTTGGAAGTTAGGAGGAGGTGCGGGATTACCAAAACTGTTGTCCAGAGGGCTGAGGAAGGGTTGTTGAGGTGGTTCGGACATGTAGAGAGAATGGAGCGAAACAGAATGACTTCGAGTGTATCAGTCTGTAGTGGAAGGAAGGCGGGGTAGGGGTCGGCCTAGGAAAGGTTGGAGGGAGGGGGTAAAGGAGGTTTTGTGTGCGAGGGGCTTGGACTTCCAGCAGGCATGCGGGGAGCGTGTTTGATAGGAGTGAATGGAGACGAATGGTTTTTAATACTTGACGTGCTGTTGGAGTGTGAGCAAAGTAACATTTATGAAGGGGTTCAGGGAAACCGGCAGGCCGGACTTGAGTCCTGGAGATGGGAAGTACAGTGCCTGCACTCTGAAGGAGGGGTGTTAATGTTGCAGTTTAAAAACTGTAGTGTAAAGCACCCTTCTGGCAAGACAGTGATGGAGTGAATGATGGTGAAAGTTTTTCTTTTTCGGGCCACCCTGCCTTGGTGGGAATCGGCCAGTGTGATAATAAAAATAATAATAATACTGCAAAATACCAGCTAATTTTGTTGGACTATGTACTAGTGAGTATTAGTAAGTTATTAAATGCTGTAAAGAGTTTGTGGATAGTGAGGCTCAGGTTAGGGTGTGTAGGAGAGAGGGAGATTACTTTTTTAAGAGAAATTGCAAAAGTTAGTGGATGAGTTTGGGAAGGTGTGTAAAGGAGGAAAGTTGAAAGGGAACATAAGATAAGAGTAAGGTGATGAGGGTATCAAGCGAGTTGGGTAAAGGAAAATTGAATATCACATTGGAGGGAGGGAATATGGAAGAGTAGACTTGTCAGCGGATGGGTTTATGAAGAATGAGGTAAATACAGAATTTTTTAAGGAAAAAAGACGAGTGGTGCATTGAGGTATCTGTGGAGACAAATGTTCATGGAGCCAAAGTAGGAAATGTATGAGAGTATAGTGGTACTAACACTTAAGTAGGTGTGATGCATGGGTTGTAAATGCTGCAGTGAGAAGGCTGGAGACGGTGTCATGTCTAAGGGCAATGTGTGTTGTAAACATTATGCAGAGAATTTTTTTTTTTTTTTTTTTTTTTTTTTTTCTCTCAACAAGTCGGCCGTCTCCCACCGAGGCAGGGTGGGAAATTAGGGTGGAAATTAGGTGGTGTGGAGTTACTAAGAGTATTATTCAGAGGGCTGAGGAAAGGTTAAGGTGCTTTGGAGGGTGTATAAATCTCTAATAGAGAGGAGGGGGGTAGGGGTCATCCTAGGAAAGGATGGAGAGAGGGGGTAAAAGAGGTTTTGTGTGCAAGGGGCTTGGACATACAACAGATATGTGTGAGCTTGTTAGATAGAACTGAATGAAGATGAATGGTTTTTGGGGCCTGAGGAGCTGTTGGAGTGTGAGCAGGGTAACATTTTGTGAAGGGATTTAGGGAAACCAGGGTCTGGATTTGAGTGCTGGAAATGGTAAGTACAGTGCTTGCACTTTCAAGGAAGGGTTTGGAGTATTTGCTGTTTGGAGGGACATCTAAACTGTCATATCTGAGTGCCTCTGCAAAGGCAGTGGTATGTACAAGTGATGGTGAAAGTGTTGAATGATGAAAGTTTTTCTTTTTGGGTCACCCTGCCTCGGCAGACATGTTAAAAAAAAAAAAAAAAAAAAAAAAAAAAAAAGGTAGCTACTATAGGTAGATAATAGCAAATTTATAATGTTGATTATTTGTTTAAACACCTGAATAACATGGTGCTGGTGCAGTTAATTTTGATTTGACAAATCAATCAAATCCAAACAACCCTCGAGCATGTTTATAAACCCTTGATTTTTTCCAGCAGTGATTGGTTAGCTGTGATTCTTTTGTATAAAATGTAACCTGTATAACTGGTTTCCATCTTCAATATGCTTGTTAGGCCGTTCTCTAATTTTCTGGTTAAGATATTAGAAGAATACTTTTCACTTGTCCCATTATGTAGCCTTCCATATTGCAAGTAAATCTTGAACTAATACTTCTGCTTTGGACAGACATATATGAGGACCTGGTGTCTCCAGTGACAGCAGCCCAGGCACTTCTCATATCCACTGTGCGCAAGAGGAAAGAGATGTTAGAGAAGACGATGATATTTTTGATGCAAGTCTTAACTACACCCAATGTTGATCCACGTCACAAGGATGGCGTCATGCATATGGTAATTAAAAAATATGTTTACTTTTTTTTTCAGCACTGGCTGTCTCCACTATACAGTATGACCCCCATATTCACTGATTTGGTATCTACATTGTCAGTTATCAAAGCTTAAGAGATGCCATGAAGTGCTTCCTATCAGTGACAGTGATAATTCTCCACTTACTGTGCATAATTTATCAATTAAACTTTATAATAGATATGTATAGGGTTTGCTACTATCCATGGTTTTGGTATCCATAGCAGGTCCTTGTAACGTATCCCCTGTGGATACAGGGGTCCTACTGTATATGTATTATAATTGATAATTTAAAAAATATGCTTCTCCTTTGTTTGGGTACAGTATTGGCAGCAGTTTTCAATCAATCTGATCCCTTGTGTTATTTATGAATGCTGGATAGTTTGCTTTTACTCCATACAGATTGGCACAATGGGAAGTGTATTGCTTAAGAAGAAGATTTACAAGGATCAAATGGAAACTATGATCGCTCAGTATGTCTTCCCAGAGTTCCAGAGTCCATTTGGCTTCATGCGGGCACGGGTAAGCGAGAGAGAATTCCGTCATGAAAAGTGTATAGAAATATTAATGAAGTGTGGAGAGAAATGTTATTAGTATTCACTATTGTGGCACATGATTCTTGTCTTGTTATATTTTTAAACAGCAGCCATCTCCCACTGAGGCAGGGTGACCTGAAAAATAAGAAATGCTTTTGACATCACAGGCATTATCACTGTCTTGCCAGAGGCATGCCAGTACTACAGTTGAAATCCCTCTCCAAACTGCAATTGTCCCCACCCCTCCTTCAGTGTAGGTACACAAATAACCCACACATAAAAGAGAGAAGCTTACGATGACGTTTCGGTCCGATTTGGACCATTGACAGTGACTTTGTCAATGGTCCAAGTCGGCCCGAAACGTTGTCGTAAGCTTCTCTCTTTTATGTGCGGGTTATTTGTGTATCGTTCCAGTCACGATATTGTGCCTTTTTTGTTATTCAGTGTAGGCATTGTACTTCCTATCTCCAGGAGTCAACAAGTCATGACATCTGGTTTCCCAGAATTCCTTCATAAATGGTTTCCTTGCTCACACCCGAACAGCGCAGTCATAAAAGCCACTTGCCTCCATTCCTATCTAACATGCTCACACACAAAAATGTTACCCTCTCTCTCCATTTCCTAGGGCAATTCCTACCCTGCCTTCCCTCCACTGCAGATTTATACACCCTCCAAATGATCCTGTTTTGCTCCATCCTCTCTAAATGTTCAAACCACCTGAACAACTGCCTCCTAAGTTCTTTGGAGATTATTTTTAATAATCGCACATCCTTCTAATCTCCAAACTATGAATTCACACATTGCCATCAGACATGACATCAGTCTCGAGTGTGCTCCTTGTAGCAGCATACATATCCCATGCTTCACATTCATGAAAGTGTGTTGGTATCACTCATTCCCCTTTATGCCTCCATGGGTAACTTGTCTCCACAGATGCCTGAATGAACCACCCACCTTGTCCTCTTCAATTCTGTGGCTCGCCTCATCTTTCATAGACCCATCTGTTGATAAGTCCAGTTCCAAATATCTGAACATATTCCCTTCCACCATTCTTCAGCATTTTTTTTTTTTATCATTATTATTATTATAGTGATACCCACACACATGAGTTTGAAACATGGGTTTTAAACATTGCAGTGTGGAGATGGAATCAGTAGAAGTCATGTCTGAGTGCAGTGTGTTGTGTGGATATACATGTAATTTGTAGTTTGGAGATTGGGAGAAGCTGTGGGTTTACTAAAAGTATTGTCAAATTGGCTGAGGAGTGGTTATTGAGGTGGTCTGGACATTTAGAGTGGATGGAGCAAAATAGGATGGCTTGGAGGGTGTATAACCCTGTAGTGGCGGGAAAGATTTGCCCTAGGAAAGGTTGGACAGAGAGGATAAAGGAGGTTTGGTATGCAAAGGGCTTGGACATCCAGCAGGCATGTGTGAACGTGTCAGTAGTGGAGGCAAGTGGCTTTTATGACTTGACATTCTGTAGGAGCGTGAGCAAGTTAACATTAATGAAGGGAATCGGGAAAACTAGTTAGCCAGACTTGGGTCCTGGAGGTGGGAAGTACAGTGCTTTTATTCCTGAGGGGAAAGGGTTGGGATATTGTAATTTGAGGGGGCATCTGAGTTATAATGTCAGCATGCCTCTGGCAAGACGGTGATAGTGGGAGCGAGTGGTGAAGGCTTTTCTTTCATGTCACCCTACCGTCAGTGAAAGATATTTTAACTCGTGTAGTCTCCCACCAAAGTAGGGTGACCTGACATTCAGTACTCACTGTTGCCAGAAGTGGTGTTTGAGGGAAAGTACACAAATAACCCACACAGAGAAGCTTATGACAACATTGGATCATTCACAAGTCATTGTGTGTGACTTGTGGATGGTCCATATCAGACTGAAACATCTTCATGAGCTTTTCTCTCTCCTCTGTGCGGGTTACTTGTGTATTGTTCTAATCATGGCATTGTACCTTGTTGTTTTTTGAGCAAAAGTGTATTCTGTGTAGGGTCACCCTTCCTTGGTAGGAGACATGAAATCTGCATGGTCTTTGTGCTTTTAATTTGATTGTTAAATCCAAAAAATTTTTTAATTTTATATTTGTGGATTAATTTTTAAAACATTTTTCAATTGAAATAGTTTGTACTGACATCTTCAACCTTTTTTTTTTTTTCCCAGGCTTGTTGGATCTTGCAAAACTTTGACGAGATAAAATTTAAATCGGAACAAAACATAATGGCAGCAATGAATTGCATTCAGAATTCATTGCTTAACGACCATGACCTTCCAGTAAAGGTAGAAGCTGCTATGGCACTCTCGGCTTTTCTTGCCTCTCAGAACAAAGCTGAGAAGATTGTAGAACCTAATGTAAGTAGTATATATGAGAACCATATAATGTACATTTTTTTTTTTTCTGCCATCTCCTGAGGCATATACTGTACATATCTGGTAGAAATTTTTAATATTGCAGAGTGCTCTTTACAGTGTTATAAGAGAAAAACAGCTGTGTCTAACCTGTTTAATAAGTACCTGTGAATTATCAAATTAAAAATTTCTCTCATCAGATTAGGCCAATTGTCCAAGAACTATTGAAGGTGATCAAAGAAACTGAAAATGATGATTTAACAAATGTTATGTGCAAGATTGTTACTACGTACACTGACCAACTAACTCCAATTGCTGTAGAAATGTGTACTCAGTTGGCAGCAACTTTCCAGCAGGTAACTAAACAAATGTTTTCTGTTGTATAGCTAGAATTTAGTAGTAGTGATATTGTTTGTAAATAGTGATAACCAAAAATGTTAATTTTTTTTTCCTGCTGTTTAATCCAGTTAGCCCTTTCACTGTCTTGTACAAATCGACATTATTGATGCCAGTGTTGCTCATGCAGATCTACAATTTAACCCTTTGAGTGGCTGTCAATGAGATATATGCTAATGATGCCAGGGTCCCTCTCGTATTGAGCATAGTTCTTTCAGATAAACTGTGAGCAGTAAATTTTAGCCTAGATATGAGAGAATGGGTGTGTACTGTGAGTGTGCACAGTATGTATAACAATCCTGCCTCATGTGGTGTGTGATGGGAAAAGCAGAACTGTCCTTGTGTTTGGTTTAAAATAAGAACTTTGAGGTTTTTCTCAGATTGTTTTTATGGTTTTATTAGATATTTGTTGGTATCATTTGATTGAATGGAAAGTATGCTACTGACAGATAATTTTAATTTGTTTTAGGAACAGAAGTAACTTAAAATTGTGCTCAAAATAACAGAAATATTAGATTTTCACCAATTTTCCTGAGGATGGGTATAGCCTCCATATCCTCTTCCCCCTCAGTCTTTTATGGGTTTTTAATAGTTCTGATTCACTTATTGGGATGCCATAAACTGTGACCAATCATTCCTAATTATATTTTATTTGAAATATAGGGTAAATCTTCTGTGTTTTGTGATAATGAATTCACAATGGAAAGCAAGGCTTATAGTGCATTTTTTATGATACTGGCTATTGGTCTCTAACACCATTAACCCTTAAACTGTCCAGACGTAGATCTACGTTTTTTCGGCATTTGAAAGTATGCCAAAAACGTAGATTTTTTTTTTTTACATTTGTAAACTTGTAAAAAAAAAACTTTTTTTTTTTGTTGTTATACAGTGGAACCTCAAAAATCGAACTGCTCCCAACTCGACCAATTATGTAAGTGTATTTTTGTAAGTGCTTTTGTAAGTGTATTTTTGAGGGTCTTAAATGGTCTAATCTAATTTACATTATTCCTGATGGGAATAAATTCGTTCGGTAGTGGCACTCGAACAGCCTTCTGGACCGAAGAAAGTTCGATATTTGAGGTTCCTCTGTATTTGAAAATATGTAAAAAACCGAAGATCTACTTTTGGAGCACTACACGTGTGAACATTAATCTGTTCGGACAGTTTAAGGGTTAAGGGGCATTTCCCTGTTGAATATGCAAGTCTGGAGAGCATTGATCTGTAAAGTGATGGGTCTGAAAAAATGTTACCTTTTATTGAATTTTGGGTAATTCGTGAAATTGGGAACGTCTGTAGTTGTTTGGGGAGAGATACATTGATAAACTATTCCCTCTATAATTTATATAATGTGCTCCCTCCATATAATTTATATAATGTGCTCCCTCCATATAATTTATATAATGTGCTCCCTCCATATAATTTATATAATGTGCTCCCTCCATATAATTTATATAATGTGCTCTGGCTTAAAATTAGATTGTGAGTAATGTAGTGGGATTCACATGACTTAATTTTTTTTATTTTAGGTGGTGGATGCTGAAGATGGAGCAGATGAAAAAGCCATAACAGCTATGGGCTTGCTTAGCACAATTGAAACCCTAATAAACTGCATGGAGGAAAATCCCAAGATCATGGAGCAGATAGAACCAATCACGTTACAGGTTGTTGGCCTCATACTTACCAAAAATGTAATGGGTAAGTTTACATAGAATGGATTGATCTTTAGTAAATTTTGTTGAGGATTTTCAACAGTGTTGGATAGAGAAAAAATAGCTAGTCACTTTCACTCTTAAATGCTGCTGGAAGGGGAGGTATTGAAGAGACTGATTGTTACTAAGCATGGATGATGAGTTGATTTCATGCATGAAGTGATGAGGAAAGGGAGCTGTTTGGAAGGCATCAAAAACAAGTTGGGTAAGGTAGTGGACAGGTTAAAAAAGTGAAGTTTTTTTATTTACTGAGTTAAGGTTAGATTTGCATATATAGAATGTCTTTCAGTAATGTCTTTCTTTTTTTTATGTATATATAAACGAGTTCTTGTTTTATGTCATCCTGCCTCTGTGGGATACGGCCGGTTCATTGGAAAAAAAAAATATAAACCGAGAATGAAAATATATTTCCTGACATCCTTGTAACTTGTCTGTGTCTTTACTTAAAGCTGTACCCGAGTACCTTTTTGCTCTTTCATTTCGTCTTGATATTTTTTGTCTCGTGGTCCTGTCCTCCAGGGTTATTAGATTCACTTCCTTCATCCTCTCTTTGTAGTTCATTCCCCTTAGCTCTGAAACTAGTTGCGTTGCATATTTCTGGACTTGATCCCGTTTCTTAACATGCTTCCTCAGATATGACTACCAAGCAGGTGCTGTGTGCTCCTGTATGGGCCTGACATGGGTAAAATGCCTGGAATGATTGTTGAAATTACTGAAATCCTTTGTCAGATTTTCCAGGCGAGCATTGGCTGCAGAGGTTATTCGGTGGTGAGAGTAAGGAGTTGTGTAGGTAATGAAACCCATGATGTTTAGAGGTGAATGCTGGTAGCTGGTTCTATCTGTGGATGATGACCTCTTCAAGGGGGGCTCCTTGGCGTGGTGAAGAGGCTCTTGGTCTGAGGAATTAGACCTGTCGGTCTACTTCCTCAGACCGAACCTAATTACCCCCCAATCCCCCGTTCCCTATCCCATCCTCCCCTTTTTCCTTTCCTCCTCCTCCTCCCCACCCCTCCCTTTTGCCCTTCCCTTTTTGGCCTTTTTTTTTTTTTTTTTTTCCCCCACAGGCACACTAGTTCCTGGTAGGGGAAAGGGTACCGGGGTCCATCCCATTCCGTTGAGGTTCTTGGCGGTGGCGTAGTTTGCCGTGGAATCTGGATTGCCTGGGATGTCCTGATTCCCTCTCCCCGGTATCCCGGAGGTGGCTTTGGGTGTCTCTCGGGCGACGGGTGTATCTCTGGAAGCCACCTTTCGGATTCCGGGGGTGGTGCCAAAGGAGGTTATGCTTTTGGCGATTTTTCCGGCCGCCCTCTCTTTTGTCCACCGAGGTAGCTCGCAGATGAGATGTTGTCCTGCTATCCCGGATTGCCGGTTTACTGGCATGATGGGTAGGGTATGGCACGGGTTCCATGCTGCATCTGCGCTACTTGCGTGCTGAGGTCCTCTTGGGCGCGGAGGGAGATCTCTGGCCCTTTCATACCTCCTAGGAACTATCCCTCCCCGGTCCCCCCTTTTTTTATTCTTTTTTTTTTATTTTTTTTCTTCTTTTTTTTTTTTTTCTTAAAAACAAAAGGAAAGAAGTAACCTAACCATGGCAGCCCTAGTCCATGAACCTGCTACCCCCGGGCCCTTTTCTTGATACCGCACACCCCTACTCTGACCCCGCCTCGTCTTTGGACCACTCTTTCGGACCACTCCTCATGCCTCTGTACCTCTGCCGGTGCTGTTTCCTCACCCGCTTCATGGTACTGAGGCCTCGACGACTCCTTCGATTTATCTGACCTTCGCTCTCCTCTGACTATGCTTCCGGCCTCTCCCTCTACGGTGCGGCAATTTTCGAATCGCCAGCCCGTTCCCACGTCGGACCAACTCTGTCCCACCAACGCCTAAACACAACGACAAATTACCTGCTGATGATACTTCTCCCACCATCTCGTTTCTTCTCAGAACAAGATCGACACCGTCCTTCACTACCTTTCCACGCTCAGTTTCAGACTGCACACAATGGACTAAATCTTTCACTTTTACGATCCGACTTCCTCTACTGCCATCTTTCTGACCACAGTGTTGGCAAGGCACTCCTACGCCATGTTAGGTAAAGTGATTCTTTCATGACTCTTAAAGCGGTACGCGCATCGTCACCGTACAGAATGCTACCAAGGCTCATAGCTTTCTCGTCTTTCCCATATCGATACTGTTCCTGTAACTATTGAAAAGCATCATTCCCTCAATTCTTGTAGTGGTACCATCATTCTGCCCCATACCATAGTTCAACAAAAATTTCCAGACAAGTGCACTGACATTCTGAACAGCTGGAAAATCCAAGATCTCCCAATCCTCAAGGTAACACTTACGTTCTCCCTGCCACGCGGGCGGAGACGATACCCTAGCAATGTGGCTCTTTAACTTTTGACAGCCGTGAACTCCCATCCTCAGTTTATGTAGCAGGACATCGGTTACAAGTTCGAAAGGTGAATCCCTAACCGCAACAGTGTAGAAATTGCTGGCGGATTTGGCCATCCAGCGAAATTATGCAGATCTATCGCCGAATGCCCAGTCTTGGTGCCGATGACCATTCTAATACGTCTTGCAATCGACTCCCTCTGCCCTTAATTGTCATGAGGCTCGCCCTTCGTACTCTCGCCGTTGTCAAGTCTACTTAACGAGCGGGAAAATCCGTTACCTCAAAAAGGCAGAAGGTCTCCCTTATGCCATGGCAGTTTCTCAATCTCCGCCTCCAAGGGAGACTACCTCGTGTTTCTTATTCCCGTGTTTCAAAAACGTCCCCCCACTTCTGGTATCCCATCTTCTGCACCCTCCTCTGTGGTTACCTCTGCCATAGTCACTCCTGTAGCTAATTCTTTTGCTGTCCTCGGCTCAGACGTCCCTACTTCAACGTCTCAGTCTGATCTGCTTCTTCGTGTTCTCTCTCACCAGCCTCAGTAGCGACGAGATCTCGTATGACACCTCCTCCCAATCGTCCCTCTACTTCTCAAAAGTCAAAAAAAATGGTCCGTTAACTCCTCCTACCCATCTTCCACCTCATTTTCCCTTCCCTGTCTCTGTACCTGGTTCTCCCCCTCTCACTGGCTCTGTTACAAGTGTAGAGGTTCACCCTCCTCCTCGTACTGTACCTTCCTCCCCTGTTCCCTCCCAAGTTTCTTCCTCTTCTGCCCACCTCCCAGGTTTCTGCCTCTTCTGTCCCCTTCCACGCTTCTCCAGTTCCCTCCACCCTTCCGTCCCCCCCTACCTTGGTACAGTCCATTACAGTTCCAATCTATACTCATCCTCCCCCTACCATTTCCAATATTGTCTCCCATACGACGTCTCTGAATTCTGAAACACTTGAAGCAATCTCTGAATATATTGCAGAGGACCAAACCGTCAATAGGACACTGATCCACCCTCCGCTCCTTCTCTCTTCCTCTACTCCATCTGCGCAACTCCTTTCTTCACAGTGCAACCGTTCCTTCGCTGCTTTGAACGTTTTCCACTGCCTCCGCATGTGGACTTTTCTAACCCCTCTAGTCCGTAGGAACCCTTACCTGCGGATTTCAGGTATCTTTATCATTGCCAATCATGGCCTATTTACAGTGGAATATACGCGGCCTCGGGTAATCGGGGTGAGCTTCAGATGTTACTCTCCCAGTTTTCCCCTGTTGGTGTTTGCTTACAGGAACCAAAATTACACTCTGCTGTTATCTCTCCCATCTCAGGCTATAATTTATTGTATTCTTCAGATCCTTTTCCTGATGGGACCTTTAATGAAAGTGCCCTTCTTCTACGCACTGATATTCCGTACCATCAGCTATTTGTTCGTACTTTGCTGCATTACACAGCAGCCCGTATCAACTTGCATAGGTGGTATACGCTCTGTTCTTTATATCTCTCTCCTTCTCTGGCATTATCTATTCTGGATATTACCTTTCTTGTTTCGTCATTACCACCACCGATTCTGTTACTTGGTGATTTTAATGCCCACCATTTCCTCTGGGGGGGTCTCACTGTAATTCCTGTGGCATTCAGTTAGAGGCTTGTCTTGCCACCCACCCCCTCCATGTTTTAAATACAGGTACTCACACCCATTTTGATCCTCGGACTCACACTCTCTCTTGCATCGATCTCTGTCTGCTCTTCCTCCGCCGCATTAGACTTCACTTGGTCTGTTCTTCCGGACTTAAATGACAGCGATCATTTCCCAATCATTCTTACTTCCCCTTCATATTCACCACCTCTTTGCCGAGACCGCTAACTTTGCGAGAGCATAATTCCGTAAGTTTTCTATCAAATTTCAAACTTTTGGTGTCTTTATGATCGGGAAAAGATTCTCTATCTTTTCATAAGAGAAAATAATTTTTTTTTTTTTTTAAATTTGGCCGACCCTGAGAACGAGTTTCGGAGAGGGCCTGTCGACCCTCAAAGGGTTAAGAACTTTTTAACTGATAGGCATTTCCGTGTTCGGGTTAATAATGTGCTCTCCCCGGACTTTATCCAAGATGAAGGTGTCCCCCAGGGATGTGTTCTGAGCACAACACTTTTTCTCCTTGCTATTAATGATTTGGCCTCTAAGTCTTCCATCAAATATTTGGTCATCACTCTATGTTGATGACTTCGCTATTGCCTGTGCAGGCGCTGACTGTCACCTTATTACAGTTTCTCTCCAGCATGCAGTCGACCATGTTTCCAATTGGGCCACCACACGTGGGTTTAAGTTTTCCAGCACTAAAACCCACCAAATTACTTTCCCTAGACGCTCTGTCATCTCCGATCATCCTTTGTACCTCTATGGCTCCCGTATCCCTGAACGTGATACAGTCAAGTTTCTGGGCCTCCTCTTTGATCATAGGTTATCCTGGAAACCTCACATTACCTCTCTGAAGGCAACTTGCCACAGCCGGCTGAACCTCCTTAAAACCCTTGCTCATCTTTCATTGGGAGCTGATCGTCGAACCCTCCTTCGCCTACATTCCACCCTTATCTTATCGAAAC